TAGGTCGGGGATTAAGCACGCAGCTACCTAAAAATATATGAGAAAGAGAAATGGGTTTGCATGCTTATTCCCATTCCATGAATACTATATGGTGTCCAAAAGTTCATGATTAATATCGTTGGCTTCTCCAGGATTGTATGCATCTCTTCCATCGCTTGGATCTGTTTGTGAGATAAAAAACTGGCTGTTCATTTATTTATATCTCTATCTACTGTCTACAGCCTCCAACTGACATTCACCATTGCCTAAAGCCACAAACAGTAAGCGAGACAATATTATAATCGGGCCTGAAAAAACTGAGTATAGAGATCATGTGTTCAAATTTCTGAAAGTTTGTTTGTTCGAGGTGGACTATAATTCCTCACTGTGTCCTGTTTGTCCAGCTAATCAAATCGTAAATAAATTCCACTTGGTTTTAGAATGTTTTGGTACCTGCGGCGACTCATTCCCTTCACCCGTTCTTCCATGTCCATCTCACCTGCAGCCCCTTCTCTCATTACCGTTCCACTTGTACTTCACCTCTGCCAGATAGTCTTGTGTGCAAAGCCATCCGGCATTGTTGCAGTTTCTGTATCAAATCTGCCTGCTGTGGCCCCACATGCCCCTTTTGGGATTTGTTTGCCCAAGTGACTGATCTCCAGGTTTTGACCCTGCTTGAACACTGAGCAAACACAACCAGCCTTGTATCTTTGTCTATTTGTTTTGCTTTTGGGTTCATGTTTGCCTGTAACTAGTGATCGTTACACACAAGGATGGTAATCGGCTAAGCTAATAATTAAAGCTCCTGATATCTAATTCTTACTATGAATCCTGCCTGAAGTCTAACATTCAACACAGTTTCTTTGTTACCTGCAGAAAGTGCAAGTTAACTCATTCCCTCATTGAGGCAATCCCAGCATACAACCTTTAACCTTCATGGACACCTCCTATAATAAGGCCAATAACCTCTGAATCTTTTTTATGTGTTACTAAGTCAATAAGACGAATCATGTGACCCACGGGTGCCGTCTTTGTCGACTGCAGTTGCGTTTGCTGTCCCTTGTCAAAAACCAACCCATGCAGGGAAATGGTTGTTTTCTGGTGGCAAATTCTTTTTTCTGTGTGCTGTCATTTGCTCGTGCTGTAGAACACCCCAGCGCAATACCCTGCTGTTACATTGGTCAGACCCTTCGTTTTTGAATTTATCTTTTGTATATGTTGAAGCCTGTCTGGAAGCCACAGCCCAAATGTTGTTGAATAGTACAGTGAAGTGTTTTTACAACCTCTTCCTCCGTCTGAACTTTATCGGGGGCAAGCTGAGTGAACAATGACTCCCGGTCAGTAACGGCTTTGTCTATATATGGTCTGATCCATTCCAAATATACAAACAGTTTTACTCTACAGTTTCTGTTTCTCTGCAAAGACACATAACACCAACTTGGGTGCTATTCACCAGAATTAATAACGCACTGCCCGTCTGAAGGCGTATGGAAGTGCAACCGGTGTAGAGGTTTTGGTCTTTGCTGGTCGCTTATTTGTTTTTGCGTGGACCTCACACGCAGTCCCCCCAGGGACCTCAACAGCAGAACTAATTATTGGTTCAGACGGCAGATTAATCTCAGGGTGACATGTTCCAACAAACTTAAAAAGAACACGATTGGCCCTACAACAACTCCTTAAGTCTAACGCAGACTGAATGGATCAGACATGGTTGAACAATCAGCAGCACCGATTTTCTTTTCTTCTTTTCGCATTCAATTAGAAGCAAATGTTATGATGTTTACATTTCTTTCTCTCGCCTGTATGAGAAATCTATAAGAAAATAAGGATGTATGAAACATGCACTAATTGGTTAAAGCATTGCATGAAGGTTGAGCTTTTTTTAAACTGTATTTGTTAAAATGAAATAAAATACACTAGTATGTGTGCCTAAATGCTCATATGTTTTCATGACTTTGGGGACATACAACTGTTTACAAAGAGACGTTGAGAGACTCATCGTAATTTAAGTCCCTACATTTTAAAGTCAGAGCTTGGTTTAAGGTCAGGATTAGGGTTAGGATTAGGTTGGTTAGGAATGAGGTATGTCCAGGAAATGTAAGTTAATATAATATAATGTCACCAAATGACGTGTATCCACACTTTGAATTTTGCAAACATATTTGTAAATGCATGGCGGCACGGTGGTGTGGTGGTTAGCACTGTTGCCTCACAGAACGAAGGTCCTGGGCTCAACTCTGCCCCGTGACATTTCAGTGTGGAGTCTGCATGTTCTCTGTGTGGGTTCTCTCCGGGATCTCCGGCTTCCTCCCACAGTCCAAAGACATGCTCTGGGGATCAGGTTGATTGGTGATGCCAAATTGCCTGTAGCGGTTTGCGGATGGATGGATTTGTAAATGCATCAACAAAGTTACCTTAAAATAATCATATTTGTTCTTTCTGTATTGATTGAACCATCAGGTGGACGTCAGAGTTGATTCGTCAGTGTTGATATCTAATTACATTATTCACCCGTAATGACTGACAGGGCTCTGGGGCAGCACTGTCTAGACCGCTTTAATTGACTCTGTTGGTCTTCAAAGCTTTCTACATTTGCTTTTTAAAGACATTAGTTTCTTGTTGAGCGTTACAGATGATGAATGGAGTGGATGAATAGAAAAGGTATCAATCTACTCATAGAACCCTCAGCAAGAATCTGAATATGGGTTTAATACCAGTCTAACACCAGTAAAGCAAATTTACATTGAAAAAAACAAGGGAGAGAAAGTTTTTAGGCTCTCATTTCCTCTTATGCTTCTCAACGCTTTCCCTAGAGGACCAAGGCCTCCAGGTATTGTTCCTTACAGATTACAGGAAAAATACAGTGTGGGAAGGGGGGGGGGGGGGGGTTGGCCCTTTAGTCCACATCACAACCTTCTATGAAGGATAGAGCTGTGAATCTAATGGAAGATGGTATTTGAGCAGAGATAGACTTTTTCTAATGGTGTTTGACTTGGCAGAGTGGTGTGCAGTGTCTGACTGGGGACAGGATCCTAGCCGGGCCTGGGAGTGACAGGATGCAGGAAGACGGCCTGAGGAAACCAGTCATGATTAATCGAACGGGCAGATTCACACTTTCCAAAATAGAAATATAATAGCCATTTCGTTTGTCCTGTCGGTTTGAAAGGATGAGGACACGTGTGTCACTGAAGTCATGTTAGCTGCTTCAATAGAGACCATTCACGTTGATCTGAAACACACCAGGGCAGGGGTGCCCAGCAGGTCGAAGACAGTGTCAGTAGATCGCCTGGCATTGATCAAATAAATCATGTCACGTCACGCATGCGCAGTCGACCGCGTGTGCTAACAGAAAACTAATGCTAATTAGCGATCCTTGCTTACTAACGGAGGCATTTAATTTAATCCAAAAGCAACCCAGGCTGACTCCAATCAGTGCATCGTGGAAGGTAATGACCAAGAATGTGTGCAATGGTTGTGACGGTTCCCTCGGTTTTGACAGATGAGAGGCTCGTTGTAGTTTTGCACTTACTGCATGCAAGAAACTCGCGAGCCGGAAAAGTGTGAGCATCTCTGCACCAGGGACATTTGACTCAAGCTCAAAAGGGGTTTATCCTTCAGGGAAGAGACTGTGTCCATTTCTGTGTAAAGATTCCTATAGTCGTTCCTATAAATATTCCTATATCATTCTGAAAGCATGAATATCCATGTTCAGGGAAGCCTGCCAAGACATGCTGTGATGCACCTGGGTGTCTTAGCCAGACGAAATGTCCCAGGGTCACCAAAATCTCAAGTAACTATAATCGTTTTAAATGCATTTAATGATATCTGTCTTGAAATTAGTGACATTCTGCAAGGGATTAAAGAGCTCGATAGATGGACCTCCACTAGGGGGGAAACATAAGGTAACAGTTTTTTAAGGCTTGAAAACAATATGAGAAAACACAGCAGGGGGTCGGGCATGAATCTAAGATCTGTTGTCCACTCACAGAAAAACACCTGCAAGCACCATAAAGAACCCAACCTTCCCACCGTACTGTGGTTTCAACTAAATAGCATCTCCTCCTTATTATTACAGAACAGAACTGCAACAAAATCATTGAAAAGCAGAAATTAATTCATCTAATGACGCGTCTCTAAAAGAGCATTATTGACTTTACTGCAATTTCAGTAAATATTGGATGTAAAACTCCTCATTCAAAGCACATGCTTATTTTATTTTATGTAGTAGTTGTATGGTGTGATGACTGAGAGAGTAGTTCTTAAAAACACACAGCTTTTTAAGTCTATGTGTACACATACATTCATTGTATTATTCAGTGCAAGGGTGCAACCATGGTTTAGACATTGGGGGGGTTTGCTGGACCCTACGATGGGGGGGATTCACGCCCTTGATTCAGTGTAAACGCATCACGCCGAGTCACTACAAGCAGGGCCGAGGCTCAAACTGTAGCGTTTTAAAATATAGTGCAGAACATTATATGAGTGCATTCTTTCCCTCGTATCTGCAGACTAGTTGGTCTACATTTTATGTTAAATTATCATGGCAGAAAACACACCAAGGCTTCTAGTAAAAAGCAAAAGTATTAGTCAAACCTACTATTAAATCATAGAGCGTTTGCTTGAGTGGTTAAACAAGGCCGGCTGGACCACTTACATCCAAATTTCTTCTTCAAAGGGTTGACAAAAGCTCCCCCTGTTTTGATGTGATCCAGACCAACAGGAAAAACCTGTAAAACGTCATTGCTTGAAATGTTCAGATGAATTACTTGTTTTTTCTCAACTTTAAATTCAGTGTTTGCATTCTGGAAAAATATGCCTATGAAAAGCCTCGCCTCATTAACACTTCAGAACTCGGAAAAAGTCAGAAAAGGTCTGTGTGTTTGCAGCTTTAGCTTCATGCAGCGGCTGCAGGGACAATGTGTTCAAACTCTCGGAGTGCGCTCAGCACCCTCTGCAGGCTGGCTTTCTGATTGGCTGAGCACTGCCCATGATGTCACCACTGCACGCTATAAGGGCTCTGACAAATAGGCTGGGAGACACATTAGAAAAAGCACTGCTCCACAGAGGGACTGAGTGAGTGAGTGAAGCACACAGAGATTAAGAAAAACGGACAACAGAAAGAGAGACATGTGACAGTAAAGGAGCTCACTGAATGGTGTTTTTTCTACTTTGTGTGGGAGGCAGGAAACCAGACGACTACCTGTTGAGGTTTGTACTTCTGTTTTTGCTTGGCTTGTTTAGCGTGTTGTTGTTTTTTAAGCTCTTCTTGTAGGCAAGCAGGATGAAATGATTTTTGTTCTGGGATGTTGGTTTTAATTTCTCTTCCCCTTTTCTGTGTAGAATTACAACCAACAACAGACACATTGGATCTTTTCTGCAGTGCTTGCTGATTTTACATTTACGTTACATTTCCCCTTTCTACATACGGTTTCTTCAGATGGGAAGTACAACCCTCCCAGTGTACATCAACGTGAGCGCGGGGATGTCCAACTCGTCATCAGAGCCAGATAAGAATGAGGAGGGCTACAGTGAGGTAACCATGTTCCTGCTGGGCATCGTCATGTCCATACTCGTCTTGGTCATTGTGTTTGGCAACATCCTGGTCATCATAGCAATCGCTCGCTTCCAGCGTCTCCAAAATGTCACCAACTGTTTCATCACCTCCCTGGCTTGTGCTGACCTGGTCATGGGCCTCATTGTGGTTCCCTTCGGTGCCTGCTCCATCATCTTTAAGACCTGGCACTTTGGAAGTTTCTGGTGTGAGTTCTGGACCGCAACTGATGTGCTCTGCGTGACTGCAAGCATTGAGACCCTGTGTGTCATCGCCATCGACCGTTATCTGGCCATCACCTCTCCGTTCCGGTACCAGTCGATATTGACCAAGTGCAAGGCTCGCATTGTGGTCGTGCTGGTGTGGGTGATTGCCGCCTTGACGTCTTTCCTGCCCATCCACATGAAGTGGTGGATATCGGATGATAAGGAAGCGATGGATTGCAACGAGAACAGTAAATGCTGCGAGTTCAACACCAACATGGCTTACGCCATCACCTCTTCCATCATCTCCTTCTACCTCCCTCTGGTCATTATGGTCTTTGTCTACAGCCGCGTATTCCAGGAGGCCAAGCGGCAACTGAAGAAAATTTACCAAAGCGTTGGACGTTTTCAAAACAACGACAACAGCAACCTGAGATCTCTGGAGGCCAACAACGGGCGTGGTAACAAGAAGGTCAGGTTTTGCCTGCGGGAACACAAAGCCCTAAAGACCCTGGGCATCATCATGGGGATCTTCACCCTTTGCTGGTTGCCCTTCTTCCTGCTAAATGTGGTGGTGGCCATATGGAAGGTGGAGGGCATTGACCTCACCTTTACGATACTCAACTGGATTGGCTTCGCAAACTCTGCCTTCAACCCGTTCATTTACTGCCGGAGTGCTGAGTTCAGGTATGCCTTCAAGGAAATCCTCTGCATGAAGAGGAACCGCCTCAGCAACCCGGGGCCAGTGAACGAATACGCCGACGACAGGCACAGCTGGCAGAGCGAGCCGCAAGGCAGGAGTAAGTGTAGCTTGGAAGACAGCGAGACTAACGAAGGGTGTCAGGGTAAAACAGCGGGGGGCTGCGGGACTGCGGACAGAGCAGTGGACCCCAATGGGAATTGCAACAAAGGCCTGTCAACTGTAACGACTGTCCTGTAAACTGGGAGCCCCGAGACTTCTGTCAATAGGGAGAAAAACAACGCGTTTACACAGCTGCCGTAAACTTTTTGAAAAAATGAAGGTAAGGCCAGTCAAACCGGCTGGTAGAGACTCCTTCACGGAAACTGTAATATTCATGAGGAGCAGAGAAAAGTATTTATCTTTCAACTCAGTGAATGAATCCTGCAGGTTGATCACTTTTGTTGCATTTCTCATGTTAAACTTTCATCTACCTCATCACTCCTTTTACATGTGTCTCTCAACGGAGAATTTTACCATGACTACCTGTCCACGAGAGTTGCACTAGGAAAGTACAGTATCTCAGATGTTTATTTACTTGTATTATGTATGAATGTATAGATTCATTACAAAAAATGGACAATTTGGCATAAATAGCGAGTAATTTTTCCATCAGAAAATGGCCGGCTGAGCAGCATGGAAGCTTTACACCTGATGCCTTGCTTGAAGAAATACATTCCAATCTATCGAAATCTGAATATGATTTTTTATGCTATTTCGTTTTATTCATTGTGAAGGACAATGATGATGGACAGCTGTGTAAAAACTTGTGCTTGCTTTCTCTCGCTCGATTCGCAGCTCAGCGATGTTTTACATCCTGGCTGTTTGTGTTCGCAAGAAGATTGCACCAGATAAGTTTTTCCATATAGCACTTAGGCAAGCCGGTAAACGCATGGGTCCGTCCTAAAAAACCTGCAAGTCTGTACATGTTGTAACAGCTAGATTCCATTTTAAGCTGTTAAGATATATAATATCTTAAACAGATGGCATTAATGTGGTTAATCCTGGGTATTGACCTTTTAAAGCTTGCACCTGTTAAAGATATAAATGCACAGTGTTTAACACAGTTTTCTACTGCACAACCCACCAGTCATGTCTTGCTTTGTGGTAAACTTGCTGAAAATGTAAACCAGTATTTGACACATGATAAAGCCATTAGATGAGCATAAGGCAAACTATGAGTCTTTCCTGTTCACCCTCAGTGACAGTTATTTCTGCTGTTTCTTAAATTGTGTGTTTGGTCTGTTTCGGCATGTCGTGTTTTCTGAAACCAGAGAAGCTGTTTCCTTAGTCATGGCACAGGGTACAAAACCACACAATAATAAACAGTGCGTCAAATTAGCCGTGCGATAACACCATCCAGCACAGAGACTGGTCTTGACCACTCAGAGGCCGATTAATTGAGATGACAAAATAAGTCCTGAGCAGTGCACCATTGTCTCCCTGACATTTCCCAGAGTCTCCCTTACTCTAAACATGTGTCTGGATCTTTGGCATATGTGTCTAACATTTATATGCAGGCAGTGCCGTTTCAGTCAGCCTGCATGGTGCAAAGTCTAGCCAATCCAGCTGAGCCCAGCATAAATAACCAATACGTCCGTTATCTTTACCGTTCAGCCGAAGAATCAGATAATTCGGGAACACTGAAATAGATTAGTGGATCGTAAAGTATACACTTTCCAATCTGCACCATGAGTTTTGATGACATAACAAGAGCACATTAGCGCTTCACGTGCAGGGGCTTGAATTAGTGAATTCACCCACTCTTTCCACGCGAAGTGGCAGGTGTGAGCCCCACTCCTCTGTGAGTTTCCCCATGACCTGATCAAAGTGACAGCATGTACATGTGACAGCTGTAGAAGACGAGGGGGGGGGGGGGGACCACTGTCAGTCTAAATCGGTGTTTGTGACCTGTGTTTTAGTGCATGTAGCGTTGCCTTTGGTCATCTGACTCGAGTCAAAATTGTGAACTTTGTCCCCTCAGAGGAATTCATATGTACTGTATTGGTAGGTTTGGTCAATGCTGTTGTCACTTGCTTTAGGAATAGACGTAAATATGTTGTGATCCGTTAGTGTTTGCCATGTGAAAAACAAGATTTCCCGTCTGCTGATATTTTTTTGCTGTTTTTCTTGTCCATGGATTTACAGCAAAGTAAATGCAGAGGTTGAATGTCATAAGAAAATGTTCCGCAGTTTGGTATTTTTCCCCAGAGCATTTCACTGTACACTTATCCACAAAACGGATAGCGATTCAAGACCACGGCTTTTGTTAGACCAACAACTGTGTTTACTCTTTTAATTGACGTTCTGACATTAAATTGAATTAGTGAATTCACCCACTCTTTCCACGCGAAGTGGCAGGTGTGAGCCCCACTCCTCTGTGAGTTTCCCCATGACCTGATCAAAGTGACAGCATGTACATGTGACAGCTGTAGAAGACGAGGGGGGGGGGGGGGACCACTGTCAGTCTAAATCGGTGTTTGTGACCTGTGTTTTAGTGCATGTAGCGTTGCCTTTGGTCATCTGACTCGAGTCAAAATTGTGAACTTTGTCCCCTCAGAGGAATTCATATGTACTGTATTGGTAGGTTTGGTCAATGCTGTTGTCACTTGCTTTAGGAATAGACGTAAATATGTTGTGATCCGTTAGTGTTTGCCATGTGAAAAACAAGATTTCCCGTCTGCTGATATTTTTTTGCTGTTTTTCTTGTCCATGGATTTACAGCAAAGTAAATGCAGAGGTTGAATGTCATAAGAAATGTTCCGCAGGTTGGTATTTTTCCCCAGAGCATTTTCACTGTACAACTATCCACAAAACGGGATAGCGATTCAAGACCACCGCTTTTGCTAGACCAACAACTGTGTTTACTCTTTTAATTGACGCTCTGACACTAAATTGATGAGTGCTGTATTAAAAAAAGAAAGAAAGTGGACAAGGTGCATGCATGTGCACAAGATGGTTTTTCATGTCCGCTTTGTCTCATTACGGCGATGTGTATGTAGACACGGGGGGGGGGGGGGTGGGGGGGCACTTCCTTTCAGAGTGATCTGTCAAAGTCCAAGAAGAGAAGGTTGTGAGCGGTACGTCCACACTGCTCCCTCCTGGCAGTGGCCTCTCCTTGCACCTCAGCTGTCTCAGAGTTGTTAATGGCTACTGTTGCATCAATACGCCTGTATAATAGGGAATGTCATTCATGTCTGGAGGACACAACAAAGTTATACGCAATGAGTCTTGAACCCTTGATTGACACTAAAACATTCCAAGTACAGCGGATGGTTCGTCTACCGATGCGCACAATGAACATTCAGTTCTCACTAATTTGACCTCAGATCACCCATGGTACCCACTGATACGTGCTCTGCATACATGAAAGGTTATTTTTAAAGTGGATCCTGGGTTAAAGACAAGTGTTGAAGACTTATTACAACGTGTCATGTGTATCTATATTGTATTGCGATCAAGGCTGAGGTGGGTTTATGCTAATGTTACCCTCACTTATCCACTGTTGTCCACGTACGCTGCTCCCCACAGTTTAGCTTAGGATCGTTTAGCTTGACTCAAGACACTTTCTTGAGACATTTGTTTCGGAAAACAATTGAATCCAAGTCTGAGTTTGTGTAACTATAAATAATTGCTGCCTGAAGAGTTCACTTGTGCCATTGTATTTTTGTGGAAGTGCTCTTTCCGGTTTGTGACTAAAAAAGCGAGAGTCATGAGAAAGTGCAGAGTCGCAGCACGGATGTTGAAGGTGGATTGTCTTGAGCAATTCATGAATGTGATCACTCCATGAAAGTGAATGTGTGTGTGTGTTGCTTTTGCCGGCATTTAAAAAAAACAAACCTATTACATGTGAACGTTGTTTTTTTGGACTGAAAGGAGTCGTCACTCGGCTGAATGTTTACTAAATGTTTCCAAACCCTTTTTTTTGCACATGTTGTTGTCACTGTTTGTGAAGGTACAGAGCCTGCTACAACATGTGGTGTCCGGTGGTATTTATGAAAACACAATTGTAACGTTTGTATTGAAATAAATGATGTCCATGTTGCATGTGCCGTCCCCATGGATGTGTCCTCTATGACTGATGGTGTCGCGCTACTAAAGACCTTAAAAGAATAAGGTGCGAGCCATGTCAATGCATCGGGCTTGCAGCCTGACAACAGTTAAGTCTATTTCAGTCTGGGAAAACCAGTCATCAGCATGTGATCCAGATGGAATGACGGACAGGAAGGAGATCGGGATATCATGAAAATGTTTCCACTCTTTACACTTACTAAGAGTACAAAGGGTTTTTAATTTCATCTGCTGCATGCAGGGTAAAAACAAGAAAAGTAATTTTATAATTACTAATGTAGAAACTAACTGATTCTAACAGGTGTTAAAAATCTGTTAATATATTATGTTTGCATGGATAACAAAGACTCCAATGACCTTTCACAACGGGTCATTCAGTGGAATATGTCCTCTCTTGATCTCTATCTGTCACGGTATCGGTCAGACAACAATTGGTTTGATATTCACACATTCACTGACAAGAACGGAACACGACACTGCAACCTGCTGTAAGGGTTAGTGTGAGTTTTCCCTTTCCTATACTTACACCCACAAGCTTATTTCCCTTTGCATTGACCATCAGCTGGTGAGGAATGGGACTTTCCACTGGGGTCCGGTCAGTTTTAGCCTAATCATATCACGTATGTCCATACTAACAATCCTTTTTATTGGGTTTTTAACCAAAAAAAAGTCAGAATTTCCAATAGAAAACCTACTAGCATCAGTAATACATACTTCCAGCAAAAAGTTCAATCAGGAGAGACAAGTCAGATAAAGTCAAGATAATTGTTAGTTAGATAACATGTGATGAAGTCTTGACGGAGTCTTTGCAATCAAAGGGGCATCTTCCCTCAGCACGTCTTCATCAACGGTGGGTGACGGTGACACTTTAAACCAACTTATGATTGATTCTATAATCAGTCAGAAAACTATTCGTCAACTCATCTTTCATTTCATCCTCTTGCATTTCAATTTCACTACACACCGAGGCATCTTCAGAGTAAATTCACCCACCGACCTCCAATGCTTTACAAGTCAAGACTCCCGGCAGCCTCACATTACAGTTTTCACTTTCAGTTGTGTTAAGACGTGAGCTGGGAACAATCCACAGTGTGCAGACATGCATCTGGAGATACGCCAAGCGTGTCTTCAGTACAGAAGAGGAAATTTGAAGAAATCATACCACCTTATTTTGCCAACACTGTACACAGCCGTTCAGTCCATGCTTGGTAATCCTGTACATGTCAGCCATCAATGACTCAGATCCTTAAGAGCAAGATAAAAAGGAGACTTTCACATATTTTAAATCCACTAGAGTCTTTTTTTTTTTTTAAGGACCGTGGAGGGAAAACTCTCCGGAAACAAGAGTTTGTTTTGGTGCAGGATCGTTTTTTCTCAGATATTTCAATCATGGCAGTGATGTGTCTAGGGTGGGAGATGTGGCATGTGAAAATGTTCTCTGATGGATCAATAAGTCCCCCGGCACTTTCGTGAGTATAGTAACCAAGGCACCACAAAGTCTACAGTCCGCTCGCTCCCAAGGGCCCCACTGGCATGGGCATGAGTGTGGATTTGAGAGCGTGGGGATGTCTCTGCGTGCAAAGGCGCATCTCAAATCATAGCTTGTCCACATCTGAAAGATTGGGTTCACCCGACCTGAGGTTATGAAAGCAAACAGGAACTTGAAAAAAAAAAAAAAAAGAGCTTGGCTCGGATTTCAAGGCCAACAAAAATATAATAAATAATAATAATAATATAATAATAAATGCAATACTTCTCTAACATGATATTCTGCCAACATGTTTACCTACATGTCACCATTGAGCGCAGGATTATCCCTTACGGGGTTCTGCGTCACACCCTGTTTCCTCCGTACATCATGTAATTCGATGAAGAGTTGTCAGAGCGGGAACAAAGGAAACCATCATAGCTTACGAGTTTCAATCACAAAGCTCACAAACATATTTGGACATTAAAAATATTTATTTCAACCATGTTTCTGTCAGTTAAGCGGACAGGTCGGGAAAAGTTCATGTGAAATACTGTCATTTAAAATCAGATTTTTACCAGTTCTAATGCCGTTACAGAATTCCTCTAATCCCAAGGTTCTGATAGCTACACACCTTTTTGTGTCTGCTGCTTATATACACTTATGAGTAAATTACAATAAGGGTAAAAATGCCTCCCGAATATGATGTTTTTCTCTCCCGGAGGCAGGAATACAGATGTTAACAGTATGGGAAAAACTGTGTTCATCTGTTTGTGCTTTCTTTGATGTTAAACACATTCTGGCTTTAGTTTACAAGTAAGTGTTTGTTTACTGCTTACTGTCAGTGGGGAGTGTTGTTCGATTTAATCTAAAGTGTCAGCCGTGATTTCCTCTTTGTTTTGTTTGTGTTGCAGCTGACGGTGGACGTCTCTCTGTGGATTTGAGTGAATTGGCAAAACGTCACAGGCCAAGCAGGGTGCAGTGAAAAAAATACTTTCTCTTAGTAGCTCAATTATCTGACAAAATAAGTCATAATTTGCTTCCAGGAAATCAATTGGACTCCAGTATATTGTGTTCTGAATCTGTCACAATTAACAAACATTTTAGCAGTCTGAGGAAATGCAGGCTGACGCAACTGGAAATCTCACCGGAGAAGAGAAACATAAACACAGGAAGGAATAATAGTCACATTTTTGCATTGTCCTACCTAAAGTTGAACTTCCTCTGGAATCACCTTCATCCCTTTCGAAATCAGAACGATCTCCCCCAGCTCTCCTCAACAAAGAAATAATGTTTATTAAAATAATATTATGCTGCGAAAAGATATGGATATGGAGACGTGCCAACAAGTGTGTCCAAGTGTGCGTTTCTGGGCTTATGTTTAATGTTCGATGGCAAAAAAAGTAAGCGAGAGTAAACGCTGATTCAACAATGGAGCCCTGCATGTGAAATGGTAGATCTGAATGTTATTCAGAACACATCTCGGGCCAATAGTAAACACTAAGCATTTATTAAATTAGGTATCACTTGCTGCTTGTTTATATACAGATATAGAACAGTAAATCATCGCAGCCATTGAAAACTGAGAGATGGGTTACGAATGGTGTGCTGGGGATGGATAATCTCCTGCTGACGAGTTGCTAGTTACTCAAAACTCACCAAACACTCTTCCTCCTGATCCTTTACAACAGAGGAACAGCTGTCATTGCATAGATGCAGAAGGGCCAGGCAGGTTACAAAAGTGTGGGTGAGTGGTTTTGTGCGTCCTGAGCTGTTCTCATGGTACTGACATTGAACCAACAATCCAGATGACATTTAACTCTCAATATGTCTTTGTATTGTTTTGTGCGTGACCTGTTTTTTTGTTTCTCAACTCTCCTCTCTTTTTCAGATCCCTTCATTTCCTGCCCTTTGAGTGTTTTCTCACTGCTTTTGGTTGTCTGTTTTGCCCTGATAAGCTTCATCTGTCCCTCGTCAGCCCTGCATGACGGGATGTACAAAGGATAGATCAGATGTGTCCTTCATATTGGCTGCTGGAGGGCTGCGTTCAGAGGAGCCGACGGCGCGGGACAGCCGAGTCACGGCCAACGTGACTGATGCATCCTAAAAGATGAAGCCCAGGGAACTGAGACCTACCGTATATGTTCCCACCTCCCCCTGGTAATTAGACACTTTTGCAACCAGTTCCTTTCTCATTTTGTCTTCTTCGTTGCATGTAGTTTTGATCTCCTTTAATCGGCAGGTCTGTTGGACTCTTGCCTTTTTAAGCTTCTTCTTTTTTTATTCCAATGTTAAAGTATCTTCTCTGCCAGTCTACGGGTTCTCCTGCAGCCATCAACTTTGACATCAGCATTTAACTTAAAACTATCGGGGAGCGTTTCAGACTTAACTACTGATACACTTGCACAAACTAATTAATTTATATGTATCTATCTGAAACACTCATGCATGCACATATGTAACGGTTGTGTATCAATATATTGTTGAACACTAATACTTTTATAACTAAATCTCTTGAATATGATTACAAAGATATAACATGTTTAGACATATTTTCAGGTGTTTCACATCTATTTGTATAAATGTTTCAAACTTGTACGTGCACGTTTTTCAGTCGGATCCGGATGACTTCCTTCTGACAGTCAAAGCTCTTTTCTCGTAAACGGCACTGTGGTGGTGGGGCGGGTTATCTGCACCGGGGGAACCAACGAGTGGGTTGTTCAGGGAACGGTGCCGAGATGAGGTCTAATCAGACTCAGCTGTGTGTGTGTGTGTGTGTGTGTGTGTGTGTGTGTGTGTGTGTGTGTGTGTGTGTGTGTGTTTCTCTGAGTAGTGACGGAGAAGCAGATGGAGAGTGAAGCGTGACTTTGCAGTCGGTCTGCACTGAACTGTACCATAAGAAATTCTTAATAAAATGGGTTGTGAACCAGAACCATCCGTGTTGCAACCTCTTTATGGTCTGAGAATCACCGGTCAACGCAAGAAACCATTTTCAGATGGATACATCCTTTTCAGGAAACAACAGCAATTGGAAACCCATGAAGCTCTAAACTAATGACTAAGTGTAACTATTCTCACTGACGTTTATAGGAACATGCTCTAGAATTCAAACTACCATATGCAGTAAATGCTATTCAGTTGAAGCACAATCCCCTCCTATGCAGGAAAATCTGATTCCGCCTGCTGACAGGTTTTCATGTCCTCTTTATACAAAAAGAAAACTTGGAATGGCCAAAATTCCTTTAATTCCTGGAGTACAAGCAGCAACACTAAACGCAATTGATGATCCATTCTGGATTTTTGGATTTTTGGGAACAATTGTAACCATTTAAGACCTACTTTGAGTTTTTTTCTGCATCATTAGTTTGTAAAAATGACCAGATGTCAGAACAGAAGAGTGAGCACTCCATGCCAACCAAGCCTTCAGTGCAGCCAAGAAGTTGTCCTTTTAGGGAACTTTGGCCCTGCCTCTGAGTCATGGTCACACCACTGCACCCAGTCAAAAGAAGACAAATTAGCCAGATTAACAGAATTGAAAGTCTGAAAAGTAGGCAAAGAGCTTTAACTGTCGTCTGAAGTCTGAAGCCTAGTATGTCATTAAATAAGCAATCAATTGCCTCACAATTTTGAAAATGATTTTTATCATTTAAACTTTTTTTTTACCATCACGATCTACTTTCCAAGAAATTGGACACTAAAAACTTGACTTTATGTGCATTTTGGAGGTCAGATTGTCTGGAATGATTTAGGGTCAACCTAACCAAACTCTCTGTTGCTGCTGTTAATTAACAGCTTTACAGTGACATTGGTTCCTGAATATTTGATTACTTTGAAAAGACCAATTCAATACTTGTTTTGGCACAATCCGACGTGTTTTGAACTCGTGCCTCTGAGGGAAGGACGGAAAAGCCCTCAAAAGTATTCAGCGTGCAGGCCATGTACACAAACATTTCCTAATTTGGGTCATTGTTTTGGGATATAATCCCTAACAGTTTTTGTTTGTCCTTGCCTCAACTCAACTCACTCAAATTCTTCACAGTTACTCCAGTGCTTTTCTTACATTTTCTACTGATTCCACAATTTGAACGGTATTGTTTTTTTATTTGGCAAAACCTTAATGATCAAATTAATAAATGTTGTCTGTATTCCAAACCCATACTGTCAGGAAAAGATAAAATCCACAATGGTTTCAGTGTTGTAAAGGAACTATCCTGCACGGATACACAACATTGTTGGACTTTAAGTCAACTCAAGTAAATAAATGTGACGGTGTGCAACACATTTCCATTGTGCTCACCTTGGATTCTTGCTATTGCCAGTGAGATGGCAAAAATTGTTGTAGATTTTTTTCTCGTGTCTCTATTACCTGTTAAAAGAGGTTGCAGCGGCGGATGAAATACGGGCTGTATACTGCAGAATGGATTGTCTTTCACTGCCCACCTCTGGCTAAATTGAGAAACAACGGCCAATCAACTTTCTTTTCATGGCAAAGCCCAACATCAAGCTGATGGCTCTCTCTTGTGGTGCTTTCAAGCTACAGCGTTTATGTCCCAACCAACCGCTTCCTTCTCTGGCTCTCATAGGAGTAAAACCACATCCTCTCCTACTCACACGGCTGTACAAAAAGAAGAGAAAATTTGGTGGAAGTTTGTTGAGAAACCGGACAGAAATTGCTGCCCGGGTAGGTATAACGCTGAGTCGATGAAAAGACAGAAGGCAAAAAGGCCGGATAGGTGAGGCGAATGAGCCGTGATCAGGAGGCAGCCAGCAGAAGGTCCGTCAGGAGCTCTTCCCACAGTACACACAGAGACCGGCATGGGGTAAACAAGAGATGGGGGGAGGAGGGACACAGAGGGGACAACAGGAGGCAGCGCCCTGCTGCAAATGCTTTCCAGTGACAGTTCAAAACCGGTATGTCTCGTGCTCAGAGGGCAGGGCAATTATTTCAAGTTTCAATGTGATCCGTCACTACGAGACAAAGCACAAATATTACCCATACAACATTAGGGAAAATTAAAAGGAGTCCGATATGAACAGAATCCTAACACAGGTCCTTAAAACACCATGAAACTTATTAAATGAACTTCATTTAAATTTTACTTTATTGTATAACTATTTTTTTTAAGTCTTTTTGTGTTTAGAATTTAATTTTAAATCAAGAGCATATAGTAATTGAAATGAGAGTAAAATATGTTCTCCTGGATCTTTGCATGAGGAAATCTTAACTGGACCTTGTTGATTAATAATTGAATACCACTGCCTTATATTATCAGGGTAATATTACTGTGATATAAACCTAGTTAGAGATGTAGGGATGCAACATCACTAACTTATCGTTTTCTCTGTGTGCTTTTACTCTCATACATTATATATAATAACCCTTAGGACACTACTGGGAAATAATTCATACAGTTGTATTTCAACAAAACGTGTGGTCATGATGGAGCCATCAGGTGCCATTGATTACAGACTGACACCCAGTGACATCTTATATGTGTATATTTTTTTGTAAAGGATAAATCTGATATCTATAGAAGTCTGATAAAAAAACACATTGTTGTCTGAAAGCTATCAAGAACACATCGGTGAGCCACATTGTTGCACTGGGTTCCTTCTTTGCTCTGTACAAAGAGACAGTGGTTCATTTGAATCATTTCCAGGTAAATACACTTTATTACCATTTTGTTTTTATTAAATATGCAGAACAATATAATCCCCAACAAATGCAACATGTTCTCCTTTTTGAGGAAAACCACAAAAAAAAAGCAGCAAATGAGTGTCCAGCAAATTTTGATCTGATTTTTTATTTTTCTTTGTACCTTGGGGTCATGTATTTGTCCTACATTTGACGAGATAGAAAAACAAAAACACTTTGCCATCAAAATAACAATCTTCATGTTTGTCATATCTTCCAGAGATACAAAAATGTACATTTAGAAAAAGATATACAACAGGCACAGTAAACTGCAACAACCACAGATTGTATCATACAAAAAGGCCCACGCTTTGGAGTCAGTGATCCTCTGAAATCTTCAACTTCATCTTTCCTACAATAATTGCCATGTGGCTGGAACGTTGGAGTCAATGTGCTGGTCAAAAAACATGTGACCAGACGCTGGTAATGTCAGTGAAGAACATAAAGAGACACTCAGAGACTGAGTAGACGTAGTCGAGGTCCATCTGTTCACCGTGTGTGTCACTGGTTTCCCACTTCTCTCATGTCTCTGTTTAGTCTTCCACAGCTTTATCGGTGTCGATGCCGACAGTCTCTGCCCACTCAGTGCCCCACCTATTGTCCTCAACACTGAGATACTTCTGAACCGGATGTGCATTTTCATCATCCTGACCATCAGAATCTGTGTCTTGTGATGCACTTGTGAGGTGATCGGGTATTTGACTGGGCGTGTGACAGTCAGTGTCAAAGTCTTTCTCATCCGCGTGGTTCTGGTGAGTTTGTAAAGTGGAGCTGCTGCAGTCTGAGATTTGCTCCTTGGCTGTATCAAAGGACTCGGTCCAAATACTGTCACTGTGCGACTGACTGGCCATGGTTTCTGTCCCGGGCCCAAAGGGGTCCAAAAGAGGGCCGTCTTTATCACCATTCACTTGATTATCCCCAATTGCAGCGTGTGTAGATCCGTCCGCTACGTCTCTCATAATTATACCAGTATTTACAAGCAAGTCATCTTTACGTTCGTTGTCCGTCTTCTGGCCCGTCTCTGAGTCCGGATCCTCCAGGTTCTCCTCTGCAGCAGCAGCGCCTTCCTCTCCAGCCAGAACTCTCTTCAGACCCTCGGCTCTGTCTCTGTAATCTCGGCACAGCTGAGCATCGGGCAAGTGGCTGCCGTGGATCTCAGCCAGCTTCATGTACACCACGTACAGCGCCTGTGGGTTAGCTCGGTCCTCCAGGGCCGCTGCCAGAGCCAAATGGAAGTAGCCCACGGCGTCAAAAGAATCCTTGGGAGAGGGCACAGAGCAGAGGTCGCAATTTAATCAAATACACACCATCTTCACATCTTATTTGCAGGCTAGTCATTGAAGCCGTATACTGTGAAAAGGATACAAGATGTTAAGAATGACAATATCGGAAGCCTTCTATTAAACGACTGGCCAGCTACACTTTCACTTATATCCAGAGGAAATATAGGTTTTACAATTGGGACAAGGGTTATTATTGTGAACTATTTCCTAACTTTAAAGAATGAAATACGTTTCTCACAGGTAAGTTCCAAATTTCATCATTAAACCAATTTAATCCAACACGGCACTTATTCATGGTGAGGAAAAACATAACCGTTGGTCTGTAAATAACTAAATAAAATAAGTAAACCAACTCAACACAAGTCTTGAAAAACATCACTAACTTGGCTCAAAATTACTTTGAATAATATTTCAGAAAAACGTACGGTATGAATTCTGTTTGCTCAATCTGCACCAGAATGCAAACAGAAATTCAGTGGGCTTCTGTACCTTCAGTTTGTGTAGCGTGACATTGCCCAGTCTGCAGTACAGCTTGGTGTAGTAGCGAGCCTCCAGAGGGTCCTGCAGGGCGGGTGAACAGAAGGACAGGGACTTGAGGTAGTAGTTTTCTGCCAACTCGTACTGCTGCAGGTTGTAGTAGACCGTAGCCAGCCGGTGGTAGGCTGTCCTCTCATTCACATGCACCCCTGGGGGAAAGAAATTATGGATGACAAACTCCTACGTTACTGTTACAAGTCAACAGTCATGAGCCCAGGATTTTCATCCACGCTTGACTTCCTTCTACCTGTTTTGTCGGCGACTTGAACAGCCAGTGTTGCGTACTGCAGAGCCTCCTCCTGCTCCCCCTGCACCATTAACAGCTCTGTCAATTTACTCAACAAACGGAACTCTGAACGGATGTCCTCGATGCTGCGTGCAAATGGAAGACTTCCATCCTGCAAAAGAACGATTTAAAAGAAAAGCATTTAATAAGATGTAAATAAACCGCGTCGCGAGCGTAACGCCCCGGTAATATTGCACCGTGACAGCTTTGCATCCTCTTACCCTGTAGAAAGGCACCGAGGCCATTCGGTTCCTGGAGCCTTTAAAGTAGACGTCTCCTGCCTCCTCGTAGATGCTCAAAGCGAAGTGATGATCTTTCATCCTCAGGGCGGTCTTCACTGCTGCCTATTTATCAAATCGCATTGTAGATCAATATTGATTCAACGTCAGAATGTCAAACGTTGATTGTCAAAAAAAATCCCCCTCACCTGCAGGTACATATCTGCTAGTTCGTCCTCCTGGATGAGGTAGTAGATGCGGCCCACCTGCAGCCAGGTCTCTGACTCTTCCTCTCTCTTGCCTAAATCGATAGAAATTCTCAGGCTCTGCTTGGTGTAGTCCAGAGATTTACGAGATGATCTGAAAATCCAGGAATAAGATTGTTTTAGAGGAGATGGATAGATAATAGGAGCGATTGGGAAGGGGAGGCACAAACTCACTTTTCTGTGTTGAATGTGAGGTAGAGGCTGCTGAGGATTTCTAGATACTCTCCCTCTAGTCTCTTGTCCTTTAGCTCTCTGGCTACGGACACACAGTGCTCGTAGTACACGATACTCTGGCCGTACAGTAGCATGTCGGCATACACACGACTCAGCACCTTGGCCACCACCATCCGACCTTTAAATACAGTGTGTGTGTTAGCTGCTTCTGCTGAAAGTCAATACAGTGTGATACGTGTGTGATACTGAATAAGACCGACATCAAGCTTGACCTACTGTTCAATTGGCACGGCTAATGTTATGAGCAAACTTGAGCAAGGAAGAAATTACAAGACACAGGATTGATATGGGACTGAAAAGAGACAGTAGAAAGTAATGTAACCCATATCCCATATATTAATAAATACTCCTATTTAGTCTAGTAAAAATGGATTCATAGATTTCCATATTCCCCCTCTCAGAGCTTATTTGCACACATTGCATCCAAGCAGTTTTTATCTTCAGTACATTCACTCAGAAAAAACTACGTAATTCTTTCCTGGAATGAGTTAAAATTTTCTGAGCTTATAAGTAGAGGCATTAGCTAATTAGGTTGACTATCATGAACAACTTGTACTCACTGTGTAAGTTTCTGGCATGTAGGGCAATTAGCAGCCCCATTTCGTAACAGGCCCTGCTGTCCTGGCTCCTCCTCCTGTCTTTGTAGCTCCTCCCCAGCCAGAGGTACGTCTGAACGTGCTCTTCATCAATGGGGCTTTCCCACAGCTCCAGAAAAAGATGCAGGGATCTAGAAACGCAATCACCAACACAATCAACAACTCTTCTACGTTTATTTTTAGTTTTCGGGAGGGGGGGAAAAGACAACACTTATGTCTGACCTGACCAAGAAGCGTTCTGCCACCAAAGGCGCCCCCACATCCAGCGCCAGGCAGCCCAGGTTGGCCAGTGCCAGGGCCTGGTTCCTCTGGTTTCCACTTTCCCTTGAGATCACAGAGGCAGAGTGGAGATGCCAGCCCGCCTCTGGAATGCGACCCTGCCGCCTCAGACACAGAGCCAAGAGGTTGTGGATCACCCCTCTCTGCGTGGGACTGTCTGTGCCCTGAAGAGATCACACACGATGTTCATAAAGAGCAGCAGGAAGACTGACATTTGAAACCAATCACTTTCACTACATTTGTCTCAGCGAATTGCGTTGTTTGCTGTACCTGGAGTGACGTGAGCAGCGGCTGCAGGACGCTCTGGGCCCTCTCAGCCTGGTCCGTCAACACCAGCAGCCAGCCGAGCAGCACGGAGGCCTCAAAGCCCTCCTCCTCGTTCTTGTGGCCTCCTGTCTCCACAGCTTGTTGAGCACACAGCACCGCCTTATCCAGAGCGTCGTACTGCACGTACACTGTGGCTAAGCCCTGACATAGGTCCCTCTGTGTCTTCATGTCGTCCCCTTGCTCCGCTAAAATCAGGGCCTGCTGAAGGTAAATCACGATCTGGGCAGGAAGCAGGGAGGTTCCTTCATTCCAGCACGGGTTCAGGCGGACAGAGTTCCTGATAAACAACTCGATCTTCTTGAAACCTTCGTTAAGTGAGTGGTCCTGCCTTGAGTCCAGGCTCAGAGAGGCCAGCGCTAGGTAAGGCATGTATTTGCGATGATAGAGCAAGCTCAGGAGCCAGTTGAGGTCCAAAGGAACTATGGAACGCCCTTCGGTGGGAGAGAGCGTCAACGAGAGGAACTGGAGTCGCTCAACGAAGGGGAGGGCGTCGTCGGTCTTCCTGCGAAGCAGGAACAGGCTGGAGACGAGGTAGCAGACGCGAGCCTCCAGGTGTTTGTCCCCCATCACCACCGACCTCCTCAACAGCAGCTGCAGCAGTTCCACCTCATCCGTGGAGGTGAAGGTGTGGCAGGGGAGACAGAGGAGCAGGCTGCTGGCCTTCTCCAGAGTCTGGGGCAGCTTGTCCGTCATACGCTGCTTCAGGTAAACAGCGGTGAGGTTTGTGTAGAGAGCGACGAGGAGCGGCGTGTCAGAGAAACTGTCCACGCGAACCCCGAGAGCCTCCTCGTAGTACACACGGGCCTGAGGAAGTATAAATATGGATCTATACAGATTATAATGATCTGTAAATTGTGGGTCTCTTTGAGGAGGCATGCACAATCTTGGTGTGTCCACAACGGACAAAGATAGCACAAACCTGGGATAACTTTAGCTTCCGGGCACAGAGTCTTCCCAACAGGAAGCATGCCCGTCGGTGTGCCCAGTCCAGGCCCATCCTCTTGGCGCTCTCCCTGACACACTCTAGGTGTGCCAATAGCTCGTCCTCGGTCTTACCACTGAAGGTCACCCAAAGAAAAGAGTACTGCAAGTCGTACAGTGGCAGGAAGTCCTCCTAGAACAAAAAAACAAAAGAGCTGGCTCTACACTGGCTGTAATGTGTTTGTTCAAAAGAAGGAGTTACAAACAAAAACATAACAACCTAACCTTTTTTTTATACATGAATAGAGAAGTAACAAGCAAATAAGAAAAATCCATCCATCCATCGTCAAACCGCTCATCCTGCACACAGGGTCGCACACAGACATGGAGAGAACATGCAGACTCCACACAGAAAGGCCACTGGGTGAGTCGAACCCAGGACCTTCTTGCTGTGAGGCGACAGTGCTAACCACCACGGCACCATGCCACCTCAACAAGAAAAATAATCCCCTCAAACAAGGACGATGCCAACGTCGTAATTGTGCACATAGGAGCATTGTTAATTTATTTACTTATGACTAATTCTATGCCTCATAAAAAGACAGGGAAACTGTCCTTTTTTGCATTTTTACCATCAGGTTTCTACTGTTTACAGACCTGAGAAGGATAACCTGTATTGCATAAACTGGGATTCTGCAGACCTGGAAGTGTTCATGGTTGAGCAGAGTCAGTGTTGGGTCACTGAACTCAGAGTCCTCCCCCTCCCAGCTGTTCTCCTCCAAGAAAAGCGGTGGGTCTTCCTGGAATTCGTCCATTTCCTTGAATGTGTCGTCCACAAGGAAGGGCAGACGCTCTCCCTCGCGAGGCAGGGGATTGTGGGACTGATAGAAGGAGAGGCGAGGGGAGGGAAGAGAGACAGAAGCGCGAGGAGAGTAGGGGGAAGCCAATTCACTTTTCTCTGACATCACACTATGACGGGTGCTGGTAGGAATCTTGTGATCTGGGAAGAGGAGAGCATTTATATAATGTTTAAGTCATTTTATTGCAATAAGCTTATGAGCTGAGCTCCACATTGAACTGTAAAGCATTACCATGTTTTGGCCGTTTTCTGATGTACAGGAAGTCCGTCTCATCCAGTCTATCTGAAAACACACCAGTCATAGCAACGCATGTGTCAATTTCCCACATGGGGATCGAGACGGAAACATCTTAAGGAAACAAACGGCGAGACGTATGGCAGCGCGCTTTCTCTCTGCCCCACTCCAATAAACGAATCCCCGCGGTTCCTCTACCTAGCCTGTACACGGAGCTGATGTCAGACGAGAAGAGTCTCTCCAGCAGGCCGTTGTCACTTGGCTCGGAGCTGCAGGCGTTGACCTGAGCGAGGCCGGCCATCTCCTCCACAGTGAGAAAGACTAGCCGTCTGTCTCTGTGTGAGCGGAACAAAGGCAGCATTATCACTCCTGCAGTCCACTCGGCCTCCCCGTCCCCATCCCACCCCTTCACATGGCAAATGCACTGATTTGAGACTTCAAATGACGCACAACATCATGAGACCAGTAGTTTCTGGCCGTGGCAGGTATTATACAACTAAGAGGAACGGATCATCTTACAGGGGTGTGGTGTCCAGAGGCTTGACATGGACCTTGTGTACGAAACCAGTGTGACCCGTGGAAGAGTGCGTTGCTATGAACACATCCAGGCCTCGGACTAGAAGACCCTGGATCTCCACAATGTCTCCTTGTCTCAACTGAAGTTCATCCGGGCCAACTGGACTGTAGTCGACCACAGCTTCACAGGAACCAGTCACTGAGGTATGTGATGAGGAGAACAGGGTGAGGACGAGCAGCAGACCCAAGAGGATTTTGAGCTCAAACGGTGTCTGACCATGAATATGATGAGACTGTATAAATCTTTGTACTCTTGTATGTATTTTTGTCTATTCTGCCAAAGAATGGACTGAATATTTGACAATTAAGTTTGAATGCGTTTCAAAAGTGCTTTCAGGCTGGAGCCTTAAATGCACTATATGCATAAACATCTTAGTATTGATCCACTTTGGCTGTGTACTGCTGTGTATTCCGGTAAACAAGGAAGTGGATTTTATATTAGCTTTCAGTATGTCCTCTTAAAAGGGGATATTACTGAATTCCTTTAAAGCACTTTTCATCAATCCACCTGAGAGGTATGGGACATCAAGATGCAGATGAAGGTGGTTACTGCAACAATACTGTTGAATGTGACCTGTGTGACGATCATGCTCTTTAATCAGTGCGTTGACGTCCCACATCTGTCAGGTGAATGGACAGTTTGAGCTAAAATAATCGAATGTGAGTCTTGTATCTTTAATTTTCACGAATGGCAAAAAACAACTGTTGCTTTTCTGTTTTGTTAAATTACACAGTACAATCAGAATGGCCACAATCTTAATCTATTTGCTGACCTCGACGTGATTCAGGAATCAAACTACCTAAGCTGACCTCAGCATTCAACATAATAAATATGTATTATCAGATACACAAAAGGCGTCCAAGAGGCTGTACCTTTGATAAGAAAGGAAACGAAATTTCAAAAAAACAATCACTACTTTAAATACCAGTGGCCACTTGGGGGCAACAAGTTGTAAAGAAAACATTTACATACTATCTCCATATGAAGTGCTGTATTGACAATGGGTTCCCAAACCGTTGGCTATTAACACAGCGGATATTAATAAGTAACGTTAGCATTCGGCTTGGTTTCATATTTGTGTCCATTTGATCAATATAATTCCAATATTGACTCCCGAACTCTGATTTGGTTTTCAGAAACTCCTGAGCGAAACTTCTGTCTCCAAATGCTCCAATATGTTGACCAGCCCGGTTGCTCACTTTAACTGTCTGGTCTTTGGTGCTGGAGTACAAAACAGGTCTGTCTGTGAGTGTTTTATGTGTGAATGTGTGTTACATGCAGAATACGTTTACCAATTGCATGTTCTAATGGTTCCTTTTCTGCTGGCGAGCATCCAACATTGACTGGGTAGTTCCTCAGGAACCATCTGACCAAACAGGAAGCATAGTTTAACTCATGTCTGCACTGCCGCTTTCCTCGTCGAGCCAAAAGCGTTTGACAAAAGAACAAGTTAATCACGCTGTCGCCGAAATTGTAAAAGAAGGCGTCTGCGACAGCCGTCCCGCATTTAAGGAACACCGAGTGACTCACTGGTAGAAGGGGTACGGCAGAGGCTGCATGGCGTCGACCGGCACCAGGCCATGGTTTCCTGTGGAAAGCACGGTGCCCTCCCACATGCTGTCCTGCCCCGTGTCCTTCACCATCAGCAAATCGTTCTTCTTGAACGGCAGCTGCTCTTCGTCGTCCTTATTATAGTCAGTCCTTGTGAACAACGCCTTGGCAAAGAAGGAGCCTGAACGAAAGAAAAAGAACAGAAGAAGGTTTGAATACACACACATGAGTTTTTGATAACACGTACAACTCTGAATTGGAAAAATGAGCTTACAGGGAGCCCTCATTCAGCCACTGGTAAATGATGGATGTTTTGTATCCTTGCGGTATTCGGTTAAAGTAATTCTCACCACTATTTGCCAGCACTGCAGTTTTATTGTACATTCACAGGGAAGGTTTGTGTCGCCCAGGCTGGAGGAAACCAATATGCATTACTGTAGGGGAGTAGTAGAATATTGATGCAGTAGCACTGCACTGACTTTGTTGATGATGCGTAAAATATATATTTAGCATATACCAAAATGAATAGAAATCATCATTTATTTTATCAAAAAAAGTATTATACCTCAGACACGTGTGAGGTGACAATAAAGAGTCCCTTGCTATGATTTGTCATATGTGTGGCAGTACTTCTGAGGCTTTGATTATGCTTAATGCGGTGATTGAAAATGGATTTAAAGTAATTGGATCAAAGGGAAGCCAAAGTTGGATACTAAATAAGTACACAGACACAACATTTGCTTTAATAATAATACCGTCCATGAAACTGAGCTTCCACGTAGAGCACAGCATCACTCACCCTCCTGCAGTAACAGTCCCAGGTAGAGCGTCGCCAGTTGTTCCTCGTCCACACTGACATTGATCTGCAGGTCACTGAGCAGCTCTGGATCCAGCCAGAAGGACTGATCTAACAGGAAGTTCTCCAAGCAGCGGGCCACGTAACCTGAGACGGAGCACATGCAACTCAGAAACAAATCCCGCTGATGTTGTCTATGCTGCTATCAGTGCACACTGGCCAACAATACACTTTGAAGATAACAAGGAGCACAATGACTGGATACAAAGGCTTAATAATAAGTCAAAAAGAGATGATTAAATGGTCATAAATGCTTACCTAATGCTAGGTAAGTGGAAAACTTCCAGATTTCCTCCACGGTCTTGAACGTGAGTACGAAGCTATCCTTCTCAGCGTGGATGGACACTAGGCGCGCAGACAAGTCCTGCAGAAACAAAGTCTCACGTTTCAATTACGGAATCCATTTCTACCTACTGCACAAACACTACGGCATTATGTATTGTATTGCGCTATGCGGGCTCTGATCATATCACAGTGGACATTTGTCTTTTTTATGAGGGAGGTCTGAGAAGTACATTAATGCCTAAAGGTCTGACTGTCACTCAACCTTAAAGAGCTGGATGACGTCCTGGCTGTTGCTCTCCACCACTCGGAGTCGGGTGCGCAGCGACTCCTGCAGGGCCCGGTCAGGGTCCTCGCTAGAGCGCCGCCGCCCGGTGAACAGCAGCTCAATGTCTGTTCCCAAAGACAAGAGGAGTGTTGTGATCGGTGCCTTTTGAGATTAGAGCTTTTACTGCTGTAAGGCCAGGCAGGTTTATTTGCATAGCACATTTCAACAACAAGGCAATTCAAAGTGCTTCACATTAAAAGTTAAAGAGAAGGACATTTAAAAACGATTACCAAAGTACATTAATGGAGAATAGAGAGCGAGAGAGAGAATTTATCATCTGCCAGATTTAAAAGAATAAACAACTAATGTCTTTAAAATTATATTTCTACTTTATCTCATTTGGACATGTACGTTGGTATATTTCTGCTCCTGGAGTCACAAAGATGAAGATATCTATGGAGGAACAAAACTTTCAAGAGTTCCTTAAAGTTCGTATTCCAGCATGATGGTCCGTGAGTTATTCACGAGGGAATAACAAAGTTATTAGGCATCTTACTGGACTCCGTGAGGCCATTAAAATCTATTTGAGAGGAAGAACCTGAAGGGAGAGGGATGTGATGGAGCTAAACTGCTGAGTCAGTAAATCATTAGTGTGGAAATGTTACTCGGTATGCAAACATTGCATATATCGTGGGAAAGGCTTTCAGGTACAAAGTATCCCCAGTTTAGACTGGCTAATGTAAAAGCTAGAAACATGCTACGAGTCATTACATTTACCTGTGGAGAATTTCCGTCCCAGTGACACAGCACTTCCTCTTAAAGCCGCCTTCTTCTTCCAGCAGTTGTCAGGGTCCGGCCCTCCTTCGCCCGACTCCACCACTGGACCGTCGTCCTCCTCACCGTCGCCTGAAGTCAGGAGGAAAGGGTGTGGTGGTTCTTTTCAGGGTGTGTCATCATGGTAAGTATAGCAATCGGTAGCAGCCAATTGGAGATGAAGATGTAAAGAATCAGTTGAAAGAAATATCTGGATTTAAAAGAAGACGACGGCTTTCATATAGCGATCAAACAGCTTGTACCATTAAGTAGAAATAGATTACCAAGCTGAAATAATGAGAGAGAAATACAGTACCACATACTGTAATTTTAATTCTACTAAAAAACAATGCCTTTAAACTGGAAATAATCTAAAATATAATAATGTTATAAATTCAGAATAACCCTAACCTGTAGTAACATAAGTCTGTGTTATTGAATGGCTGAAAATGATCCGTTAAATATATCAGTTGTTTACAGGCTTTTAATTAGAATTGTTTTTTTGGTAAAACAGTGGAAACATCAAAATATTAATTTCAATATTCACAAACTGCCCATGTACAGATACACAACTGTTCAATTAAATGTAGCATGTAGCCTAAGAAAAACAGACCGCCAGTAACATGAGACGTGCAGGATTAGTTAGCATCAAAGCTAATTCGAATAATGATGTAAAATCTTTTTTTATATACATTGACGACATAAATGTTGTTCAAAAACACAAATAATATAAAAGTCAACATTTTTTCACAATATAAACAGAAATAGTACGGCTCTCAAAGGTGAAAAGTAAAAACTTGCTGAGCTGTGGCATTTGTTAGAGACGAAAACAGAAAAGAACTAACTACGGCAAGAGATGAGGGTTAAACTTTAGAGCACAAAAACACTGACATGTCACACCACGAAGTGTCTCTCAAGCAACACAAAACAACGCAAAGGCTGACCAAGTGTTACTTGTCATTCACCCTTGATGCTTTTTGTTACAATGAGGTTTTGAAGGAAGGAAGGAATTGAAGATGCAGTGTTCTGAACTGTAAGCACGTAAGTCACATCCACCACCAAACCCTGGAAACCTATATTACCCAAAGGGCACCTTGGTATAATCTTTGTGCTTAATAAATGCCCACATTTTCAAACTGACGATGATACCATTTTCAAAGTGCAGGCGAACCAAGGGAAAAACATACAGATCTGTAGATGCGGAATATTTTAAATCTGTGAGACGATGCTGTGGGGATGGACGGTTTACTGTAACATTGCTGAGTGAGATAGCGCTTCCCCCCTGTGCATGATGCATTATCTCTTCCTTCGCGAGATAATCTTTCCGCTCCTCGACACACCGGATTCAAAGAGGCTGATGTCCTTGTCCGAGACTGGTCCTTCCATCTTGTTGCTGAACACGATTGAAATGGTGCGTGTGCATCTTGTGAGGCAGAAAGCAGTAAACAGGCCGGATGCATGTCAGGGCTTATCCTCACACCCTGCAGACTCCGCTGCTCGTTTCGCATGGAGCAACAGATTCTGTCTAATCTAATGAACACAGACTCCTCAAGGCCGATATGTGCGGTCACGTGCTTACGCCAAATGCTGCAAACGGGGCAACATGTTTTTTGTTTCCTGTTTGCTGGATGGCCAAAAGCTTTCCCGTTGTGTGACTCCATGTCTGCGCGCGTTACTAGTCTCATACAAGCAGCACATGTGACCACATACCATGCATGACCTTATAGGTCTTCACACGGTCTGAAGCCTACGCTGCAAATGTGACACTCAGCAGTGCATGACTATAGCATTCAAGCCAATGACAAACACATGGTGTCAGCAGCATCCGGCTGTGTTTCAAACCCAGGACCCCCACCCAAAAAAGGGGGCATTTGACATTTTAGGTTTTAGTGACTGTGTATTTGTGCATTCTGGGTTTGTAGATTCGGGAAAATAATGTTCAGGAGTCAGCGGAGAGTAATATGAGCCAGGGGTTGTGGACACTAAGTTTAGACTCACATGCCTGCGTGTCGAGGACAGAGCTCCCTGCAGGGAGATTCCCACAACGCGGTATTTGAACAACACTGAGTCACACATTAAAGAAAACCATCGTATACTATAGAACAAGACTCGGCTGCTCAGGTGTTAGTCTATCGGAAGAGATAAGAAGCGTTGACATTCACTATCAAGCACCTAGTTAACAGATAAAGGAATCGCAATCCCTGCATGATGTGATCTCTATCTTCAGCCTAACAGGAACTTTATGGCATAAGTGCAAAGTGCAGCAGTGTTAAACCTGCTAAACAGACGAGACACTTTACCACACAGCAATAGGTTTAGAAGAGTAGGAAGAAGCTCTCACCTGTGTGCTGCCGCCGGCTCCCCTCTCTCATTTCATTCCTCATGTGAGTTGCAGGATGTGTGTACCTCTGTGTCTCTGTGTGCGGGCGTGTGTGTTGCCTCACCATCTGACTGGCGGCTTGTGTCTCATGACAGCTGCTGTCATTCTCCGCTGTCGGCCCGGGAGACGAGAAAGAAGCAAAAGAAGCGTGCAGGTCAGTGAGAGTGTGTGAGCGTGTGTGTGTTTGTGCCTGTGAGTGTGCGACGGGAGGCCGCCCCAGACGGCAGGTCACTGGCTGAGGAAGCCTTGCTGTTAACTCCTCCCATGACTTCTGTGGGACAACAAGGACACAGCCGCCCCCTTCTCTCCCCCTCTCTCTGTCTTCACTCTCTCTCTCTCTATCTCTCTCTCTCTCTCTCTCTCTCTCTCTCTCTCTCTCTCTCTCTCTCTCTCTCTCACCCAATGCAAACACAGACTCTGTCATTCAAAGCTGAAAACCACTGGAAGGAGACCCAACCACTGTAAAAGAGGTCAGGTTGTAGTTGCGTTTTAGTGCTTTATTAGTTTATAAACCCCCGGCTATCGTGTATCACCACTTCCCATTTAGAGTCTACTGTATTTCCTCATTCTGGAACACCAGTCACACCAGTTTGGTGTCAGGAACAATCAGCTGGTTTGTACAATTGCTGTGACCACACCTCATCTTCATTCCAAAGGTGCTTCACAGTACAAGCATTCCACACAGTGTGCAGTGATGCCTGCAAATGTCAAGTATTCACCAGTGACCTCCCTCAACCACCACTGATTATATGATTTTCACTCACAACCCTCTCTGTGTTCCAGAAGGGTGGGATCGCCGGGGCCGCCATTGCTTTTGGTATTTCTGCCTGCTTAGTTAAACATAAACTGATTGTGTGTCCCCAACCCCCCGGTGTACTATCACACAGTCAAACTGAACACACAATAGCAGCCCTCTGCCGCCCATGTGATCATGCAGTTCACTGTGCAGCGCCGAAGGACACAGACGTGTGTGTGTGTGTGTTGACTAGCAACAAACTAGAAATAGACAGAAATGAGTAGAGATATCAGCAAAGCAATACATGTTTGTGTGTGTGTGTGTGTGTGTGTGTGTGTTTGTGTGTGTCATGTGGTTAGACAAAGGGCAAGGATTGTGAGGACTTGTGAAGAATGCAGCGTAGTGCTGATCAGGGCTGCTCATAGTGGGCACATGTCAGAAAAAACAAAAAGACGTGTTACGTCCAATAGTCAAACACCGCCTGGACGATTAGCCGAGACAATGTGGCAACACATCAGGCCTTCAACCAACACGTGACCCTCAGCTCACGGAGGGAATCATTTGTGCCGAGCTCTGCTCTTTTACACATGCCAGTCACGCTTAAGGAAACCGTTTCCATTCGGAAAGGCGCAGGTTTGTTCCAGCAACAACACACAAAAGGAGATGTTTGCCGTCAATGTCGATCAAGGGAGAGGGGGCGCCGGCGCCTCTGGTGACAAAGCTGCGTCGAACTGACGGCCTCCTGGCCCTCTGCCTCCGGTGCACAGGAAGGCCGGCTTCCTGTTTTTCTGAGCCACGAGTTCGGTGGACAAAAGCAAAACGCGGGACTGACACATAAGAGCAATCAGCACCTGGCACACGTCAGGGCCTCAGGGCACCCACCTACACTGTGACCCAAGCACACACACACACACACCGATCACAATCAGCTTTGACTAATATCAGTGAGATATTAATATTATTTACATAGTAAATTAACTAGGATGCAGGACAGACATGATCCGCCTCGTTGTATTTGATTTGCCATCTAAGGAAGATTGCGAGTTCATTAAGTGAAGATAAAACCCGGTACGGCCTCGGGTTGGCCGGACAGGAATGGACGGGAGAGGACAGAGGTTGCACTGTGCACACTTTTCCCTCTCTCTCATGTCAGCGGGGCGCAGTAGGTCATGGTTTAGTTTTACAAAGTTCTCCGTTGGAACTGAGTGACAGAGTACAGCAGATTAAAGGGACAAAGAGAGAACATCTTGTACAACCACTGAGCTGGGGAGAGAGAGAAAGACGTGTCTCACATCCTCCCATTGTCCTCTAGGATTCAGAACCACGGCTTCCTCAGGACATATATATATATAGATTAGGTGACCAGATTTGAGTTTGTGAAAAAGAGGACACTGGCGCAGGGGGGGTAGTGTATAGCATGCCGCACCATGACCATGTGAATGCATACAAATGTCAAACCCTGTTCTAACCGTTGCACACGCAAGATCAAAATGTGCCTAATCCCATTCATCAAAGATTTTGATTTTTTGGCAGGAAATATGGTACACCCAGGACGGAACCACCGGCCAGCTACTGGATTCCTGGAGGAAAGGCTGCGGAACATCAGAAAGAGACGGAGATCAATCAGCAGGTCTCCACAGCACAGAGACCACCTCTAATGGCAGATGATTGCGCTCCTGAAAGGGCTCTCAGACCAGGTAGTTATAAAACTTATAAATCCTTTGATAAAGCAAAACATCCATATTTTAGTGACTGACAACATTCTTGTGTTCTTTTTTACAGAATGTAACATATCAGAAGTGCATTCGGGACAACAACAGGACCATCGATCATATCCTCGATGAGTTGCCTCACCTAATGACTAAAGGCATTGCAGGTGTAGGAAAATATAATCTTACATGTGATGAGAATGTGATACCCGAAGCAATGTGAACATGTGTGGGAATTCCTGAGAGTTAGTCAAGTTCCTCCAAACTTGCAAGTAGAGCCTCAAGGGAAGCTGGTTATGAAAAATGGACACCTGTTAACTGTTTGTTGTTATGTTATGTAAACAGGTGAGTTATAGCTCAGACTTGTTTTTGGTCCAGCAACTGTTTGCACATGTGTAGGTATGTGTATGGATATGTGTGCATGCTCGTACGCATTTCTTAATTCTTTATGATAATAAACTGAGTGTCTCTTTGGCTTGTGGACAAAACAAGAGATTTGAGGATGTCAACTTGTGGTTTTTCAACATTTTTGGACATTTTATACACAACAACTAATTGATTAATCATTTACATAATTGACAGATTAATCGATGATGGAAATAATCGTTAGTTCCAGCCTCATTTAGTTGATAGTGATTTAAACTTACAATTCATTTTATATTGTGTATATTTTATGTTATATTAATTTTAGAATTCCAATATTGTCAAGTGTTAATTACATATATGTGCTTTGCATGATCAAATCTAGCATGTTACAGGTTTATAGTTGAACAGTTTTATAGACAACAAATAGTGTGTAGTTGAATGAACCCAGAATTGTAGTTAATTTGAGCCAGCATTTGGGTAAAATATATAACAACTATATGTAGCGAAACATCCCAGAATTATAGTTAATTTGACTCTGCATTTGGGTAGAGTAGTTAACTCATCTGTTGGGTTAAAATGACCAACCCATCGTGCTGGGTCAAACTAACTACTGCTGGGTTAGCAGTAGTGCCAACCCAGTGACCCAGCGGTTGAGTTATAAAAAAAACCAAATTGGGTTACTTTTAACCCAACCTTTTTTAGTGTTGGGTTACCAACCTTTTTTGACTGTATACGGTCTCTCTACAGAGCTCGCGCAAGAAGGTGGAACGTAAGTGAGATACCATTTCCAAAACTTGTAAGGGCGTAATAACTAGTTTGTGAAAGACCCAGAGAAACATAAATATCTGACGAAACAAAATCCCGGACCATTTTGGAATCCCTGCCGGATGCATTTTTTAAGTCTCAAAAAGAGGACATGTCCGGGGAAAAGAGGACGTCTGGTCACTGTAATATAGATAGATATAAACATAGCATATGTGAAGATCTCATGGATCGTCAGGGTTGTCCCAACTTATTGACATGACTATGCTGTATGGTACGGTATAAAACGGTATTTTACTGGCAGCAAGGACGCCAGGAATTAGACTTTTTTTTTAATTTTTATCACTTTGTCGTCACTCGTCACTTGTTTGCTAGTGCACTTTATGCTTAATATTTAAACTTTTTTAATATTTAAAATGTTTAACTTTATTCTCTTGTTATATACTAACCCATAGCCTTATTATTTCTATTCTTTTTTTTTTTTTACTAACCCATTGCATTAGCATTTCATTTTACTTTATTTTATTACTTGTGCACTGCTGTCCTGTTGTCTATTGTTACACTGTCTGTCATGCACCAACCGCCAAGACAAATTCCTTGTATGTTTGACATATTTTGGCAATAAATGTTTCCTGATTCCTGATTCCTGATTTTCACAGTATAATACCGTGATTGTTTTTTACACTGTTACTGTAAAATGGATTACTGCATGTTACCGTAAACTTGAACCAATTTTCCTGTGAATTAACTGCCATTTACTCAGTCGACGCTAGTAACTTACTGTTCTATTTACAGTCCCCTACCGTAATATACGGTATGTTGTTGTGTATTGGATTACGGTTTGTTACCATTGGATTACTGTTTTTGTGTTATTAATACCAGAATGTTGTTAAAGACAACCAAACTCATTTTGGTCATAGTGGTGGGAGTTTATTAGATGCCTTCAAGACAAAAATGTTAGGCATTTGTAACCAAGAACAAAACATAAAATATGCCACATGTATACAATAATAAAAAAAGGAATCATAAAATGATTAGGAACAAAGTAAACTAACGTCAACAATGCGCTATGGAACACTTTCAATTGATAGCAGCAAACGGCTGGCGTCCTTAATCCAGTGCCTCTGTAACAAACCAAAATAAAATATTTAGAAACACTGTCATTGGTAAAATATTAAAATTACAATGTTGAGGAAGACAACAAGATGTAAGGAAGGAGAATTTTAATCATGTCAGGCAAATAACACTTACCAACGTTACTTGGAGAGACGAGGCAATGAGAAACTCCTCCGATATGGAACTGCACTGACAAATGCACTGACAGGAGCATTCGGTCATGATTAACACTTAAATGACTTTTAGGCAATGAACACTTTGAATAATACAAATATTTATAATCTTTACATTCCAGCCACTGAAACGATAGCGAAGGCGGCGCATGGGATAGGGAGGGTGTGCTGTGCAGCACAAGGTTGGTGGTTTGAATCTTGGCTGCTCCCTGTGCCAAGTCGAAGTGTCCCTGAGCAAGACACCTAACCCCCAAATACTACACATAAAATTATGTAAAACCATGGGTGTTTTGGATAAAAGTGACAGCTGCATGTGTAGTAGTGTCCTGTAAGTCAAAGTCATCATCGTATCTCATGAGATACTATCTCATTATGATGACTTACAGGACCTGTTTTTCAGTGGATGGCATACATTAACCTACAACAGATGTAGATGGATTGTAATTCACTGGACTTGTATGTGTATTTCCACCACTTCATAAAATATATGTAACATGCAGTTGAATTACGGTAGTCTGCTATTATTGTAAATTGACAGCTTTAACTGTTTTTTCATGACATTGGTTGTTAATTTACAAGCAAGGGATAGAAATTTAACTGTATGTTACAGTTATTATGACATACTGTAAGATACCGTTGCACCGTAAATTTACAGCAATTTGTTTTCAGTTCACTGCTTGGTCCGTAGTATTGAGGTCTTTTAATTTGTTGGGTCTTTTAATTTTGTTGTATTTGACCAACTTCATCGGGCTTCAAATTAAGACGATTCACCAATGGCTGTTTGGGAAACAGCGAATGGGAGCTTCACCCTTTTAGATGGAGATCTTTCTACATCGACACCGCTGAACCCATTGAATGCAAACACACCGCCCAGTCGGAAAGCAGTTCTGCTCTCTGCCGAGATTCAACCTAAACACAACAAAGTAAATCCCTCAACAGCTTGGCAATTAACCTCTTTTAGAGGAGAAAAGCAGCTCCGACGCAGATAATCCAATTAACAAATTGCTTACGTGGACTTTCCAGGAGAGGGCGGTGTCATAACAGTTTTAGCAACGAGCGAATCCGGATCAAGACAACAAGTCTCTGTTTCAGAAAGGCTTTGGAGAATCTTGAAAACAATGTGTTTCATAGTCTGTGAATGTCCTACGAAATGTCACGATGTGATCCGTGGGACTGTTGTGCAAGATTTAAATAACACCGATTTAACAAATGATTCCTTTTAAAACACTTCAGACATTGAGCATCTCTGTCTCATCACGAGGGAAAATTGAATTCCGACTGAGACTAATGACTTTGTGGCGCCTAATACTTCGTGCACTGTGGTGCGGGCTGCAGGGACCCCGAAGCGTTCACATGCGACTCAGGCTGACGTCGCTAAACTGAGAACATTCAGGGGCCAATCAAGTCAGCGACAGAGAGGCAGAGTGATACCGGAAACAAGGCGTCTTCACTGTACACAATAAAGCCAGGAACAATTTCTCTCGGAGCCAAGTGGCATCAATAAAAGAATGTTTATTGTCACTTTAGGTAAAGGACCATGGTTGTTGTTAACTATTCACTATAACAATGAGTTCTTGGGCAAATATACCAAGCGATAGTCTCACAATTAGTGTCCAATAGAAACACCTCATAGCCTATTTCCATCCAGATTTAGTGTGGAGAAGGGATTCATATTGTTGTTTTTGCATGTATTTTACTGTACTTCACTTGACTTAAGTGACTTAAAAACAAAACTGTCCAAGTCTATTACATTTATGGGATTCTACAACTTTTTTTCAACCATAATGACAGTGTAAATAAATAATTAAAGGATGGTCAGTTATTTCAAACAAATGTGTAAATGAAAAATTCATAGCCCTTTGAATGTACTGAATTCTATGTTTAAAGACATTTTGAAAATACTCCTTTTCAAGGTGTTTAGCGCAATATTTTCCCTAAGTATTAAAACTCATGTAAAACACTCACTTATCACTTATAATCTGAGAGCATTTTGTGTTATAGCTGTAAAGAAAAGCTCAGTGCCGCGGACGTCCCGCCGTTTATTTTATTTTGAAAGTGAGGGCCGGAAAGAGTCCGCTGCTGCTCGCTGCACGCAAGCTGCGTGAGACGGCGCGTTTGACAGCAGCGTCGCACCGCCAGCGAGAGCGCGGCGGAGCGAAAATGTGAAGGTGGACTCCGACTGAGCAGCATTGTGTTGCAACTGATACCTGTTCCTGTCAAGAAGAAAAATACATTTAAAAAAAAAAGAAATTCCGCCAATATTCTCTCGGAGCAAGAACGCGAGCTTTATTTTGGATTTTGTCATCATTGGAAATACCCTCGCTTTATTTTTTTAATTTTTATTACACATTTTTGTTGTACCACCCTGTCAGATTTGAGGCAGATCGGAGTGAGGAGCATCATTCACCTCCACTGGATGGACCATTTGTTTACACTACACAATTCCGAGGGAATAAACTGACCCGTGACGATCTCCTCTCGCTCCATGGGATTGTTCTCGACGGAGACGCTTTGTTTGGAGGAAGAACAACAGTGGGCACCATGAGCTCCAGTGGTAAGTCCCTTTCCGGCGCGCTTCATCTCGCCACTTGAAGTGCCATTGAACAATGGGGGGCCTGTGTGAGATGGAGGAGAAAGTGTCAACTGATGTCTTGTTTGAATTCAAAGCTCAAAACCATGTAACTCCACTTCACCTCAATGCATCCTTCAGCCAATGTCGTTGGGATGTTAATTATAGAACTGTTGTGGGCTGTTAATGTGCACAAATCCCCTATTAGAGACTTGGAGCAGGTTAAGAGCGGACAGGTGGAGCTAAGTGGATCTGGAGGTCAAGGGGAGACTCCCACCGTCCATCCGTAGTGGAGCATTTCTGGCATTCTTCTTCAGCTGTTGCTCAACCCCTCATTCAGTCTTCTTCTGCCCCCCCCCCACAACCCCCATCACCAGCAGTGCGTTTGACCTGTCATGGGGAACCTCCGGGCTTTCAGCTGCTTTCCCTCTTAACGCGCCCCTTGCAGCAGCAGGAAGCCCTTCATCTGGAGGCTTTCTGACCCGGCGCCGCCGCTGTCGGTCTCGTGGAGTTCAGCCCGCCGCGATGCAGCACATTACAGAACAAGTCTGACGGCTTGAGGGGCTACTGTCACTCTTACCCTGGACCATCCTGGGGCCCTGCCTTGATGCTAAGCTGACCTTGCATCAGCTGACTGTGACCCTGATCCTCTGACAGCTGAATCAGGGCTTTTCTCCCCCCCCCCTCCCTGTCCTCTGTCTACAGGAGGAACCCGGGTATTGCTGCATCATTCGTGGTCCAGCTGGCCATTGTGTGGCCCTACATTATTCAACCCTCTGGTTACAGAGGTCCGCCTGCGCTGACAGTCCCACCCCCCCCCACCCGCGCGTGTGTCGCCGCTCCACATTCCCCCGAGAAAATGTGTAGCATTCTTTTGTTAAGCTTTCGAAATGCTTTTCTCAGCTGACACAGAGAGGGGGGGGGGTTGTCACAAGCTCTTGTGATTTAAAGGCACGCGCTTTAAAATGGTGATGCAAACAGAAGCGGTGGTTACGCCGTTGGACTGTGCTGGTTTGTGCGTCGGCGCTTTCACACCTGGCAGTTTTCTTCTTCCCCTTGGTGTGACACATCTGGCCTAACAGGCCCTAAAACCCCGGGCACAGCTCCCCAACCCCTCCACTCAGTCCAACATATGCTCCCCTCTGATTCTCAAGCACACTCGAGGTCCGGACATGAATGGGCCTGTTGGGCTGTGTGCGCTGTTCTCACACACACGGAGGAATTACACTCAGCCCCGGCGCTCCGTCTTCGTCTTCCGGGCCTCGTATCTCTCGTGGCCACTGGGGTTTTGTGCGTGTCGGCTCACACTTGCGTTTTCTGCCTGACTGGCATTCGGCAGAGGACTGTGAATCCAGCAGGGCAGCTTCAGGTGGTAAGAACTTTGGTGTTACTTAAGATATGTTTAATGAATACTAAGACATATTGCTACAGAGTAAAGATGTGCAGTATGCGAGCTTCAGGGGAACAAGTGTTGATTCATACGCTCACCATTGAGCTCGGGGGGACCAGAGGGGATCTGCAGAGCCGTAGATCAGAGGCAGCACCTCCGTCCTTCCCTCTCCTTGGAAGTTCTCAAGTAGCAGACAAAGGACATCCCCAACTTCAAAGAGCGCGTCAGCGTTTCAATGGATGTTAAGTTTGGGAAACAACGCCAGCTCTAGCTGCAATGTCAGGGGAAGAATTGGCCTTTATTTTAAGCTGTTTTGGCCCCCTCGCAGAGTCGATCCATGAATGACGGTGTTTGTCACACAACCCACTTGATCCAGATTGAAACATCCCAATAACGTTTGGATGGATTCTAATGAGCTACAGATTTGTATTGCGTTATGGCTTTGCCCAACTCAAAAATCTCAATAACTACTTGATTTAAGTGGCATCAGCATTTTTTTTTAAAGTTGTCTTTTCTGGTATTTGCGTGTTTTAATCTTATTTAGCATTTTGTTTTTGTGGTCTGTGTTTTATGCAGTGAAAGTATTACGCTGCTTGTAAAAAGGGGATTAATAAAAAAAAGAAAAGAGGGATTGGCTCTAAATTTGGTCCATGAATTTAATAGTTATCAGACAAAGAATCCTGACTTCATAATCCAGTACAGGTAAATGACCAAGTAACTGCTAAATTAATGGAGGCAATAGAATAAAAAAAAAAGTGGATTGCCGAGTTTCAGTTAAATGCAGCGTTTGTAGATATCTTGTCATTGAGGAAAGCTTTGGCCAAAGGGAAAATGGGTTTAATGATGGTAGAATGTCACTCAGTTCATGAAATCCTAACAAATTGTCCTCTGGGAACCATTAATGTGCATAATAAACTTGGTCGGAACCAAAGTGTATGAAAGTTCATACTGATCCAATGTCCCAGTGAGAGACAGTGTCCTCCTGTGGCCCCACTTCTAGAAACGAAAAGATAAATAAATGCATGGACGCACAGGACCGCCTGAGATTAAATGATAGTAGTTTCTTGTGTGGTTTCTATGCTATGAGCCCGAGAACCGAGCTCCATCGTATGTGACTCCTGCCCGTCGGCTTTTTCAGCAGTCAAAACCTTCTCCTGTCGGACGCCTTAGTACAACAGCATAGAGAACCAAGGCGGGAGGCAAAGATGCACAGATCCTAACACAGATGCTGGGATGCACATTAATGAACTATTATCTATCTATTCACAGGTCAACACACAGTGAAGCACATGTTTTTCTTGCTCATTTGTAGTCATCGTGGTTACTCCACTGGTACTCTGTCTGGCACTGCCATTAATCTTTAAACTCAAAGCTATTTTATAGTGTAATGTGAATGACTGGAATAAAAAGAAAACACTCATTTGGCTTAAGGCTACACCTTTGTGGCCGGCGGGTGTTACGGTCTCAAGGTTTCTGTGTCCGCGACCTTGACCTCCGGCGGGATTGAGCGATTGAGTCATTCCGACCTCCGGAGTGTCCGGTGCGTTTGTGAGACCGCTGGACGCCGGCGTTGCTCTGATGAATTCCCGAGGTCCTGACGCAGTCGAGCATTAGATTAATGACGAGGAAAGCATGGTTTTGCTTTGTCTTGGCGATATTAAATACACAATGCTAATTTTGTTACTCTCAAATACAAAGAACATATTTGTGTCTTAGCTAAACTTTAACTAGGGACAACTTGTGAAAGCTCATTGGATAATTACTGTAGGAACCGCTAAGCTCTAACTAAACTCAGTAGAACACAACTTTGTTGCTACAAACCAGTCCTACATGCAGTTGAATCTTTTCAATAATCATATTAATATTTCGCCTTTGCAGCTGCACAACTACAGTTATGCTAACTAAAGTTGGGCGATTTACTCATCAACATGCAAGTGGCCGAAAAAGATTTGTCTAAACAAGTCTGTTTCTGCTAGATGATTGGTGATCAGTTTCCCCTGATACAACTACAGAAAGCAAAACGCCACCTTTTTCCTTTCACATTTCATTTTGAATCCACGCCGCCTTTGTACTGCTTCTCTGTGGCGTTTACGCCACGCTCCTCACTCATCATCACCACTGATCTCCCAGCATCCCTTTGGGACCGACCTCCCGTGCATATTTTTCCCCGGGGGCTTTCAGGTCATGGGCGGAAATAGCAGCAGGCTCTGCGTCCCCGGGGAGGCTGTTGCCCCCCACCTCCCCACCCCCCATCCTGGCCTTGTTCTCATAACCTGCCTGCTGCGGGCGGTTCTGTCCCGGGGCACTCGCCGCTGATTTGGAGTGAGCGGATTACACCTGTAGCCCTGTGGCTGTCATTAGAACAATGACTCGATGCCCCCGCGTGTGTTTGAAAGCTCTTAAATGGTTGAATACTGGGAGTGCATGTGTGTGTTTTCGATGACAATAAACGCGCCGACCCAATGAGATAGTCGCGTAAGGTGTTGGCTCCCGAGTTTATTGTGTACCTGGATTCTTCGCGTGGGTGGAGCTTTTTTTGCCACGCACATCCAACCAGCTCAACAAGCATCTCGTTCATGAAAACATACGTGTTTCTGCTGGAATGTGCTACTCCTCTGCCTGCTTAATTGAGGTATGTGTTAATAATCTTCGTTAAGCATCTTGCTGCAGTTTTTCCGGATCGTTATCTTTTCTGTACAACTTTGCCAAACAGGAGGAAATTATACTGCGCCAGAGGTTTGTTCTGGCCACATTTCAGAAGGTCAGCATTGTAACGTAACGTCCTGTGTGTTTCCAGTAGGTGTTGGCATAGGCTCACATGTTCCGCCATTAGTTCATTGTCTCTCAATCACGCCGGATGGGATCAGTGTTGCTCATGTGGTTTTTTGCCTGATCTCACACACACACACACACACACACACACACACACACAGTGGGCACTTATCAGGCGGCTAGTGGTTCCCAGTGGTGCTGTCAGCATTGTGAGGAAAACAATGAACTAACAGAGACTTGAGGGTGGGAGATGTGGAGTAGGAATTGGGTATTTCCAGTGCCCACAATCCCATGGAATGTATGTATCTCCTCTCACGTACTGTGGCCTACGCTATGCGTGTACCGCCGTCGAGCTTGGAGCCTGTAAAGGGTGCTCAGGCCATGAAGCGTGCAAGGCTGTTTGACTTTTTAAGTGCTGCGAGTTTTCAGGATACAGCCAGTGAAATGGAATCAGACAGTTCTGTCACGCCAGCCTGTATGCTGATGCGGCTCTGACTGAAGCCGGCAAAGCCCTTCAGTCAGCTACTCAGCTAGACATTAAGGCCAGCTGGTTACCCTTCCATTACACCCCTCGCACGCAGAGTAGGACCACTCAAAGGCTCCTTCAGGAAGATGAAGCAGAATAAGAGAGACTGTGAACACAGCTGTTCTGGCACCGTCTTGGTATCGGGAGGCTGGTTGTCTCTGTGGATGCAGGAGAATCTCTGTATAGCCCAGAGGGGAGGATGGACCTTTAAAGAGCCTCAAAAAAGCTTAAACGCTGTTAATTTCATTACTGTTGCATAATAAGTTAGAAATGCGTGAAATATCTATTGTGGCTGCAGGAGTCTTTGACATGTAAGCAAATGCATAAAGACTTCAGGAGATCCATCCACTTTCCAAACCTGACACAGCCGTGTATGTGTGCGTGTGTGTGCGCTTGTATGTATTTGAGAAATAGAGACAGTGGGAGAGAAAGTCTGGAGCTTACCCAGCTTACAGAGGTGTCAGACCTCACTTCTTCAGAACAAGTGTTGACAGAGTTACACACTGATCTTATTATGTGAACTGCCTGCAGTGCAGTCTGGTGTGGGCTAATCAGAGCCACAGCACCAGCGAAGAAACCTTTGTTGAAAAGATCCAATTATAATTTTGAATTATTACTATTCCATCACATGAATAAAAGGCTACATTTGTTGGGGCTGGAGAGGTGGAAATGTTTTCTACTTTATTGACAATGGAATTGTTTAATCACATTAGTTGCAATAAGCTACGTTGGTTTCAGGGTCTATAAAAACCCCCAATTATATTTCCATTTTAGACTCGCAACTGTGAGATGAAACCTATTTGTCTCCCACCATAGCTCAGCAACAATAAGGAGGAACGGCAGGTCTTGCATTTCTTTGCACGTTAAAGTGGTGTTCATGGTGCTCTAGTACGCAATACCAGACACTCTGGATGACGTTTTATACAAACACCAAAATCGATATTAATAACAATACTAAATGTGTCTTTGTCTTCCGCAGCGTATCACCAGAGATCCGCAGAAAGTGAACGGAGTTCTGGACTAATCCGGTGCCAGCGATGTCGGGAAGTATGTAAAGGGGAGGTGGTACGAGTTCAAGAAACCCACTTCCACGTCAAGTGTTTCACCTGCACCGGTAAGACGGGGGAACCTGATCCAAAACCACACAACGCAGCGCGCGGCAGTGTAGACATACAGACACCGGGGATGTCTCACAATGCCTCCAGCATGTGTTAATCCATCCATCTCACGGTGTGGGCCTTTATTAGCCCGCGGTGGGGATTAGACCAGAGCAGAGGTGCCTTTCAGGGGACTTATGCTCATATTAAGACACCTCGCACCGCTGCAGACTTTGAGCGGAGGTCCTCCAGTTGTAGTCTAATGACACTGTGACCCGACTAGCTTTGCAAGGCCACGAGTGAGCGCGGGGGGCCTACAATGGATCCGCTGGTGGCATATCACATCCCAACAGCAATGGATGTAATGACGACTTATTACTCATTATTAGTAATTAAATAATTTTGTTTTTATTACATTTTCTCTACGGAAATTAATTAAATAATACAAGTTATTCAGTCGAAATAATTTCAGTTCAATTGAGATTTAACTTTTCCCTAAAAGAGATTTGTAATGTCCATAGTCAGTTAAAATTGTTGTGAGAAATATATTTTTTCACTCATTTATTCCCTATTAATCCTGTTTAGATCTTTCCATCTGTTCCTTTTTGGTTTCACACTATGTAAAACCCTTTAATTCAAACACTGATCTCAATAAATCATTCAGTGCCTTTTCAGAATTACAAAGAAGACCTTGAGTTTTTCTGACTTTTCAACTACCGTTGAGGAGAAGAAGTTATTCTCTATACTGTTGTTCAGCCCGGAGCGTTTCCAGTAGATCAACTCAATGCACGTTATTCATCGAAGGGCCATTGTTACATGTTCACTATGTGCACTCCTCGCACACACACACACACACACACACGCGCACACACAAGCACACACAAGTGAAAGACATGAACCACACAGTGCACACATGCACTCAACAATACGTGCGCACATCCATACATGCATGCACGCTCGCGGTGGTTGTGAGGGGTTGCTGTGGTAACGGTGTGAAGTGGCACCCGGGCCCTGGTTGGTGGATATTCTCAGCATCTCTATGGTGCTATTAACCAATCGGAAGGCTCCACTCTGTGCCCCAGAGAAGAAGGGGGTTGAAAACAGGAAGCAAGCGGAAAAAAAAAAAGAGAGAGAGAAAGAGCGGGGGATGGTGATGCTGTTTGTCGCCTAAACATTACATCATCACTTAAGTGTAATACCGGTCTGATTCTCATCTTCCTTTGCGTTCCCCTCTCACTCGCATCAGTGGCACATTATTGGCAAACTGTCATCGATGAGCATCATGGTAAATGCACCGATCAGACAGCCCTCTCATCTCATGTTCCAGAAAGCTCTCCTCATCCCAGGAGGCCAGGAGGCACTGCTGTGCGATCAGACTCCGCATCACATGCCTGTCTATAATACGCCCTCCTGTATGGGCCTCTGCAGAGCAAGCGGTTTTCTAAAAGTTGTTGTTGTTCAGCGTCCAACCGCCCTCACACGCAAACATGTTGCATGCTTTTTGGAACTTCATGAACTCAATCCACTCTACATTGTCCGTGCTGGTCCTCTCTGATTGTCATTAGTTCCGTCATATATTTTCCCGATGTGAATGAGCGGCAATGCAGTAGCAGGATTTTCAGTTGTCTTTTTCTCTCAGTTTTTTATCCCTTTATTTTATTTTCATGTTTGCTGATGACATTCAGCCTTAGCAGGAAATCAATTGCTCATCTTGGCACAGGATGACATTGGCATGTGGGTAGTGCGATTTGGAGGCTAATGCCTAGCTGTATTATACCATCGCGCTAGAGTGACAATCTGCTGTCAGCTGCCAATTGCCTGATCCGTCAGACGTCTTCGTGAACTCTGTGACTGGGGTGTGTTCAAACATTCTTTGCCGGACAAAACGATGGCATAAAACCAATAAAAGTTATTTCCTGATTTTTCTCCTTCTTCATCAGTTTTTTCGGTATAGATCATCGTTAAGCAGCGAGACACACTCGCTGTTACTTTGTGACATCCATCCATCCGTCTTTCCTCACACGTTATCAAGCCGCATTATCTTCCTAATGACACGTCGTCATGACTCTAAACCTATGCATTAGTCAGAAGAAGAACAGATCACTAATCATTAGCGTTTAACCTCTCGTATGTGGCCATTAAACAGCAGTCGATAAAAGCGCGGAGAAGCGGCCACGCAATCAGCTTGGGAAAAAACTCTGTGGAAAATGCTGAAGACAGAAGCCGATGTATCAACTCCAGACAGTTTGGAATTCAGTTTGTGTGTGTGTGTGTGTGTGGGGGGGGTCCGTGGCACTTTGTAGTGTAGCAGCAGGCTGTACAGTAGGAATAATGCGGTGTTGTATTACATGCAGACGGGCTGACTCGCGCATACTGGCCTGATGACATAGTGACCACATATGTCCTGCCTTTGAAGCATAATCGGCACTCGTGGATTCCAACAGTAATAACGGGGCCTGTCGTCGAGCCACGTGCGCGAAGCTGGCGCACACATAAATCACACGCAGAGGCAAGATGTGCGCGTTGTTTTACCGTGCCAAGCGACTCACATGCTAACAGAAAACACAGCAGCACGGAAACAAATCTTCAACTGAAGACGGAGACGGCTGCAAACACAGACACATGTGCACATAAACTGCCGCGCCGCTCCCAGTGGTTATTTATTTTCGGAGACAAAACAGATCTTTTTCATAAAACAGCGGCAAAGGGGAATAACAGATTTGCACAGACAGGTCAGATAAATACTTGACTGCTTTTCTAATGCTCCATGTCGAGGCTGCTGTTCTCACCAGGCTTTTTCTCAGCAGAGCTTTTTTTCCAGTCAGTTCAGCTCTGGATGCCATTAGGCCCCATCACTCAGCCTCCGTGTTAATAACATCGACCTACTGTACTGTACCTCCCTTCCGTCCTTTGAAGGCGAGGGACAGACTTTGAAAAGAGCTGAAACACCTTGGAGGGCAAGGAGGGAGCGCAAAAGACAAATAGCAAAGAGAAAAAGAAAAAGAGGTTAAGATACGGAGCCACACAGCACAGGAAAAAGGGAGGGGGACGGGGGGGGTTACAGGGATGGGGAGCTTCCTGTAGCTATAGCAACCGGCTGGTACGCCGGTCCAATCACCACGGCAATGCCTGGTTGCTAGGGAGAGATTCCGGCGGCGAGAGACGGGAGCGCGGCAGGCAGCGGCGCTTCTTCCCTCACCACTCTCCCCGGGATCTGGGATAGATGACGGGGATTAGATCTGCGCTCGTCTCTTTCAAGCATTCCCATCCTGAGGGTCTTCACCAAACTGCCTATTCTCTTTAAGTCTGTCTGTGTGTGTGTGCGCGCGTGTGTGTGTGTGTGTGTGTGTGTGTGTGTGTGTACTCCCATGAGGTGGAGCTGCTTAGTGTACAAGTGGCAGGCTTAGTGAAGGTGTGATTTCCGAATAACAAAGAGGATCATTGGGTAACTAACCCTGCTGTGTTGGAGGATCACCCCATCACACACACACACACACACACACACACACACAAACTAAACCAGTACATATTTCCACAGACCTGTAGCTGTAAAGCATTTTGTCGTTACTTCTCCAAAGGCTACGTCTCTCACAGCAGTTTGCTTATCCCCGTGTTTGTGTGTTTGTGTGAGCGATGCCATCATCACGCCTGTTTACCCCTGCGCTCAGTGTCTCATCGGCCCTCAGAGGGTTAAAAGCCGAAGGCCTCGGCGGCGACGGCTGGTCCGCTGGTATGAAGGAACACCACTTGGCAACCGTCTTTCTCCATCAACTGTGGAAGCCAAATGCTGGGCGACCCTGTCGCTCACGCACGATTTCTTTTTTGTCTGGGCTTTTAGCTGCCTTCTCTGCCCCCCCCCCCCCCCCCTCTCCCAACCCCTCCTCTCTCCCTTTTTTGCTCTCTCACCCACGTCTCTCACCCTCCTCTACAACCACGTCTCTTTTTTGAAGCCATCATAGCAGCATTGCTCCAGGGATAGCGGTGTCTGTCTGCCGGTCTGTCACTTTGGTCCAGCTTAACGTATCTCAGCCACTATCACATGGAACATTTTACAGTGACACTCGTGGTCCCCAGAGGATGAATCCTGCAGACTTTGGTGATAGCCTTACTTTTGCTCCAGTGCCATCATGGGGTTGACATTTTCGGATATAAGTAAAATATCCAGTGAAGTGGCCATTAAATCTACTACAGACACTGAAGGTCCCAAGAGGATATTTTTTTTTGCCACCCGAATCTATAACTTTTCTCTTGTTAGTAAAATATCAACTTGATTGATTGAAACTTTGTTTTCTACAGACATTCATTGTTCCCTCAGAAGGAACCCTAATGACGTTAGTGATCCCTTTCCCTTTTTCTGGTAAGTGGAAATTTGGCACAGACTCGAAGGTCTCGAAGGTCCGTTGGAGGACTTTTTTTACAGACATTGCGCCAGAGGATAAATTAAAATTGCTTTGGTCATCTGCCGACTATTCATCTAGTGCCATCATCAAGACACAGCAAATGTCAGCATGCTAATATAAAACATTGACATGGAAAACATCTAAACTTCAGGATGTTAACATCATCATTCTCACAAAGCTGTCTGTGCGGCCGCCTCCTCTCCCACCCTGTGATTTGGCACAACTTGAGAAAACGCGTTATTTACTCTTGAAGTGTTTCCTCCTGTCAGAGGGGCTCAGATCCAGGGGACAGAGGGAGGGCAGAGGAGCCCGGGGTCATTGTTGGTAGCACAGATGTGTGGGTGAATAGGTGAGCTCCTCCTCTGTTAAACCTGGTCACTGCCAGACCGCATACGTGCCTCTCTGCTACTCTGTGGCTGACCCGTATTCATTTGAAAAAATAAAATCAGCAACCTTGTATTGTCGCACAATTGTTGACTGCTTAAACCATCAGAATGTGCTGCGGGTCTACTTTGAAGTATTTTGCAAGGCACGTCCATTTACTTAATAGCACTTTATGAAGACATAACAGTAGCATAATGAGCTCAGGGAAGAGTCACAGGGTTATCATTTGTGGAGAGTGGGGAAATAAGGGAGACTTTGAAAGAAAGGGAAGGTTACACATGAACGTGCAGCTCTGCAGAGTGAAAAGAGGTTGCACATTGAGATAAAGTGGAGACCTTGTGCTCACAGCCACAAAGCTTTGGAAGGCGTCTTTTAACAGAAAGACAGAGGGAGAGGAAGGGAGGAGGCAGGGCTGTCAGCCCTACTTTGGGGTTCCGGCCCGGGCCGACTTTGAAAAGGGAATTTTAATTGCGTCTGTTGGCTGGAGATAAATACCTAATCACGCGGACCCCCTGTGGGTGCCTAATCAGTGCGGTTGTAATGACCACAGCTGCAGACACGGCCTACATGCTACCCTCTAATGACTAGACTTATGATCTAGATGCTACCTTCCTGCCTTGCCAAGAAAGAGAAATATGGAGAGAAGCAGCATCTTTTAGTTTTCCCTCATTTGAGCGCCTTTCAGGGAAATATCCTAAAATGGGAAACTCGATGAAATTAAGTCTTCGATGTCGTCTCGCAAAGCTGATTGTGTTTGGCTTGCGAAGCTATTTGGTGAGAAACCTGACTACGTCTTCATTAAGCGATACTACTAAATCTTCTATTAACTTGGGGATTCTACATAATTATGATTTTACACTCAAACTATGTGCAACAGTAAAAATCCCTGCAGGCCAGTCAGGGCCAGGGTGGTTCTGCGTTGGTTGCGTTGGGCTGTTGTTTGTACGGTTCGGCATGTGGAGCTAATCGTGTGGCTGCAACCAAAAGCGTTTCTTCTCGGAGCCAAGCTAAGCCACGTCTCTGCGGCAGCAGAGACAGCAAGCTGCTGAACCAACTCCACCGAGGCTCAGGGGAGAGGTTCTGACCTTCTGCTTAATGGTTGAGGATAAAACGCTCGAAACGTACAGGGACTGCCTGCAAGTGAGCTGTGAACATGGAGGTTCAAATAGGGAGGAGTTTTGAATATTGGTCGGACATTTCAAAGTGCATCGAGGTGGCCGTAAACAGGTTCAAATGCAATATCATGATTTCTTTAGTTAGTCCCGTAGATTCTGTATTTTCTCAAAACAACGGATGGAAATCACCTGAAATGTAACGTGGATAAAAATGTACCTGCTGTGTGCGTTTTGAGTCAATGTCAATAATTGTGAGTGATATACTTAACCTAAAATGAGTTCACATGATCTTGTTATTCACGCATGATGACTTTCATCATTTAGGTTTAGTCAAAATTGAAAGGAACACTTTTGTAATTTTGTAATTCAATTAAACAGGTTTTTTTTTTTTACCACCACAGCACGTTCAAAACTGCAAGATTTAAGGGTTATCATCAGGGAAAACATTTGGCATTCACACCCACCAGTTCAACCACAACACAAACAGATGTGCCACCACCAGTACCACATTGTTCAGACTCGGGGACCAAGCTGTCTCTAGGGCAACTGTGGAAGGTTTACGTCTCCTATGGCAACTGAGGAAGGGGGACGTCCTTTGTGAGGCATCTAGCCAATCGTCCAGTCAGAAGAAAACAATATGATTTGCCAGAACAGGTGGGCTGTCCAATCCAGATGGAGCCGATCCGCCGGCTGTGATTTGGTCAGGCGTCCATATGCTAATGAGTGCATTAGGCTAATTGAGCCAATTCCAGTTGTTGGAAAATCAATCCGGGTGCAGATTGAAAAGCAAAGCATTTCGAGAGAGAGCCAGAGGGAGAAGTAAAGTGAAAATTGTGGAACTGAATAGAACTACAATTTGGTTTTAGTAGATTAAAACCATGCTATGAAATGAAAACATTGGACCATTTCAAGGCTCAATGATAAGTCTTCCAAGAGTTTGGCAGATGTGGAAATATCCCCCGCCCATTCATCTTTTTCCGTTAAGGCATCAGATAGCCTGTGATTTAGGTTTCTGGTAACAGTCTTAGTAAGTCTGGTTTAAAATGCAGCACGGACATTTTTTGGAGGCCTATGCCATTGTTCAGTGGTTATGGAAATGTGGTTTGCAGATACAAAACACACACACACACACAACCACATTTTAGAAACAGGCTACTCTAAATCTTAGCTGTGGTCTGCCTCATGGCTCCCCTTAATTCTTCCCTGTCCTCCCTTCCCTCTGCACTTCTGCAGCCCCCTTGCCTTCATGCCAATGACCTTTCGCAATCATAAAGATCCATCATCATATCTCACCAATTCACACTGTCCCATTTCATCATCCTATCCCGGGAAACGCACGGTGCCGTCTCATCGGGGATGGATTTATGTGTTTCCATCCTCCTGTGGGAGCCCACATTGTTTTGTTTTTAAGTGAGGGCCCATTGATCTTTTATTACACCATTAAGTCAATACGCTCGACTCATAAACAGCTTGAGATTAAATGAGCCCCTTTGAAGGGTTTAAGTGTGTGTGTGTGTGTGTGTGTGTGTGTGTGTGTGTGTGTGTGTGTGTGTGTGTGTGTGTGTGTGTGTGTCCGTCTGCGGGTGCGCGTCTGTGAACTCTCAGGCTGCCAACACACACTGACAACTGGTGGCTGGAGCCCAATTTAGCCTGTACCAGCTACTGTAGCCTCTCTACGGCATTGCTAAGACCATGGCATCTATCTGCTGTATGTTTTTTTTGTCCACAAGCAGGGTGATGTCTTTTTGGAGTTTACAATATTGACTGGATGGAACTTCCTCAGACAGCAAACACCCACTACTGTTGGGTCGACGGTGGCGCATGAGGGGTAGAAGGGGTGCGCCGGGTTCCGCAAGGTAGGCGCAAGGTTGGTGGTTTGAGCCCCGGCTGCTCCATGGCCCATGTCGAAGTGTCCCTGAGCAAGACACCTAACCCTTAATTGCTCCCCGAGCAAAAATGTACACAGCCATGGGTTAAAAATGCAAAGTAAGTCGCTTTGGACAAAAGCGTCGGCTAAATGACCTGTAATGTTAACTGTCAGAGCACACATGTAGCCAAAAAGATTTAAAACGCATACAATTTGGTTCAAACAAAAGACCTCAGTCACGTTGTATTTTATTTTGGTGATGCCGTAAATGTGCTTCACCACTGCCGGATTTGTTGTTCGACTCTCTTTCTCTCTCTGCTGGTTCTCATGTCTTGAGCCGATGTGTAAAGCCTTTGATCTTGTTTCCGATTCATGAAGCATTTCACATAAGCTGCAGACGTAGCAGGAGGATCTGGGGGTCTCTGCACTAAGAATCTGTGCTTTGTGTCTCACACAAGTCCATTCACCTAGGAATCATTCAGGTGAGTCTCTGGGTTTAGGTCTGAGTATTGTCCCTTCATCCCTTTAATTGACCTGTAGCAGACGCTCTGTTTTACTTGCGTTAAAAGTTCTTCTGTCTCTCTGAGGATTTGAATTTGTGTCAGTGTGGTGAGGACTCATCTTTGTTGCAGGGAGCGGCCAGATAGCTCACAAGGTACAGCGGTCTGTAGCAGACCTCAACGTACGCACAGAAGGAGGTAAAACGGTTAAAGTTTACAGCATCTAGATGAGATGATACCGTTTTCATGTCAGACTTGGCTGATTGGTACGTTGCCAGCTGATCCGTACGTGGTGTGTCATGGTAATTGTAGTCGGATATTTAATGGGCAGTAATCATTGGTTCACAGCCATAAGCCCCAAGAGTGTGAAGTTATATATATATATATATATATATATATATATATATATAAATATGTACATATATATGTACATGTACATCACACATGGAAATCTGGATTTTCTTGAACATATGACCTTGATCAGGGCCACGTCTGTCGGGTCATTGTATTTTTCCCTGCTGAAGGTCGCAATAACCGCCAACTCTTCCTGTCGCGGAGATTGTGAGAAACACGAGACACAGCCAGTGATCCGCAAAAACGCCTCTCAGCTATACTATTACACCCGCTGAAGTGTACTCTCGGTTACATGGAGGCTTACGTTGTCTGCTGAGGATACACAACACAGAGACGCACACACACGAACTGAGCATCCGCCTTGTGCACGCTCAGCAAATGATTTTGGTGCCTTCCACATTGGTATTTAATGAGCGTCGTGCAGTGGAGGTTCTGACGATGCTAGGAACTTGCGGCCTGCTGTTTTGTCTCCGTCTTCACGTTGTTTAGCACAAAATGACTTTTCCGCTGATTATATCATTATATACCCATCAGAACAAATTGGCTCACCACTGTCGGGAGCGAAATAACTTCCCCGGCAGTCATGCGTGAACCACAAACGAGTACCGATGGTCCCACTGACAGATAGAAAGGAGGGGGCTCAAAGTGAGAAAGACAAAAAAACTCATTGTGTTAAGTCTAATGGGGGAAACAAACATTGGATGTCAACTGATGTTAACTGCACATGACATCCACAGGTCAGCGGGTGTGCATGCAGCGGCGTTTTGATTTTTCACCTTCTCTCCGCAGTGTGTAACTGTGATCTGGCCCGATCCGGCTTCTTCCAGAAGAAGGGCGAGTACATCTGCACGGCCGACTACCAGCGTCTGTACGGCACGCGCTGCGACCGCTGTGACAGCTTCATCACGGGAGAGGTAGTCTCCGCTCTGGGACGCACGTACCACCCCAAGTGCTTTGTCTGCAGTGTCTGCAGGTACACGGACACTCACACCCACCCACATGCTGTACATATATAGGGCGAGGGTAGTACTGAATACAGCAACATTACCGCTTTGGAGTAATATCTTCTCTACTTTCGACTTTGAGTTGGTCTTCACCAGAAAACATCAGGACTCCTCCATTGAATCCTACACCTACAACCTCTAACTCCATTTTTTAAATGATCAACTTGAAAGATGAATATGTCCATACTATAAGCAAACTGCATTTTCCTACCTGGTCACTTAAGCATTTATTTTGAGTATTATTTCTGGAAACCAAGTTTCTGATTAGAAATATTTGTCTCTCTGCAGCTTAGTGCCTGGTAGTTAACATACAGTGGGATTTATCTGACTAAAGCAGAGTGAGAGGGTGAGACAAGCAGTTCAATCATAGACCCTAAATCCCAAACAATGGGCTGAGAAATGCAAGAAAATTGAGGCTGCGCTGAGTGCAGTTAAGTGATAATTTGATAATTAGCTGTTTTGTTACAACACAGGCGACATATTTCATATTACACACAGTAATTTCATCCATCATTTTTGAATACTTATTCATTAGTATAACTTTAGGATGCAGGATTATAAAAACAAACAACTGCTTTTATCTGTCAACAGACACAAAATAATATTTACATTATAATACATATTGATCGCACAGGTTACTTTATCAATATTGGCTCCTAGTTGTACGTACAGTATTTATCCATGTTACAGTACATACGCATATTACTTACACTCATATTTAGTGCTGGTTAAAGATGAATACATTTAACTTAATTAATCGCATTATTTTCTGTGATTAACAGCGACTAATCGCAGTATGCGCAGAATTCAATTCGTTTTTACATTAAAAATTCAATTGCACACTTTTATTTTGAAGTAATGCTATCAGAACAATATAACAGGCACTCTTGGAGCAACATACACTATACACAAAAAAAATACTATTTAGTATAAAAGTAGTAGAAAAGGTTGAGCAGTTATACAATGACAAAAACGTCCACTTTTAACGTCCACGTTTTTACCCTTTCTTCCTACTTTACATTTCCTTACTCCTCTGCACCAAGTCAGTTGCTAAGACACACAAGGTCATTTACATTTTCTGAAAATAAAGAACTTCTTCTTCTCAACAATATGACCATTGAGAGAAAAAACCCTTTCACACGGTGCAGATGTTGCACTTCAGACAGCTGTGTGATCCGTTGGTGCTTCATACAACTGGTGTTTTCTCCTTACAGCGGTGCGTGATGGGGGGGGGGGCTCGTACGCGCCTCATTCGTTGAAATTCGAAGGACGCCTCATTCTTCTTGCGTTGGTTTGTCGACGATTCTCGCGCACACAACGTAGTCCGCCGATGTCTCGCTCCGCTAGTTGTCCAGGTAGCTAGTCGATGCTGTGTGACGCCTTCCACTGGTACTTCAGGCTGGTTGTACTTCAGGCTCGTAGTACTTCAGGCGTGCAGTACTTCAGGCGTGTAGTACCCCCGTGATAAGATACTTCCAGGTTTGCAGTGGCTACAAATAGCTTTGATTTTATCGACAACGCCATCTGGTAGATTTCAAATAAAAATGTCCATTTCTTTTGTCCATTCCATTTATTTCTAATGCCACTGAGCTTGTGATCTTATCTCGGCTCCTGAATGTCAATCAATTTCTGGTCTGGAAAACGCTCAAGCGCTCGTCGAAAAAACGATTCCAAAAAGAGAGCTGACCTGGTGCCTTATCAAGAAGAAGTAGGCCATCTCTCATTTGACCTTCATCAATGTTTGTGTTAAGCTCCTCCGGAACAATGCAACCTTCTTTTTTTTCATTTCACGCTTCCTCTCCCTTCTCTTACGCGACCCATTCTTAAAAAGTAAAAACGGTTTCTTGTTCTCTATTTTGCTTAGTTAGTTACGTGAGAGTGATCTTCCTTTGCCTCCCTCCAGGAGAGGAGTGCTGGCCAGTTGTTGCGTAACATCGGCTGAAACAAGCGGTCATGCCCAGGGCAAAAAAAAAATTCTGAACTGATACCAACAAGACAGAGGCAGTCAGTGGAGCAGCCGTCCTGTCAAGTGACGGCGCCATCTGTGTGTGTGTGTGTGTCAGTGTGTGAGGAGCAAACCGGAAGAGACGCCAAGAACCCAAGGGGGGATTTTTTTTTTCCCGGTCGGTCGCCCTTTTTTACATATTGACACAATTGATTCTTTTACTCTTAAATTTCCCCCCCCCCCCCCCCCCCCCCTCACTGCCCTTATCCCGTCGTCTGTCTCTATGTCGTCATCGCTCCCTTTCCTCATTGTCACCCCGGCCTCGGCTCTTTCTCTATCCCGTGCTGGCGTTTGGTAATCAAGCGGCGGTGATCAAAGCCAGAGGGCACATTGCTGAAGCCAGAAATAGCTTCACTTCTGTAGCCAGTTTAGGAAAAAGACGGGGAGTAAGAAAAAACATGCATTAAATATGTAAGCAGTAAATTTTTAAAGCTATGAGAACAGCTTTGAGGCTGACAACGCAGGAGCGTTTTTAGGCAGCGAGAGCAACACACACGGACAAGGTCGACTAAAGAGGAACATTCTCTTCTGTGCAGTCGTTGAATTCCTTTGATCATAGTCTGGGATTTTCTAATGTGGAAGCTCACACATGTACAGCTTATCCTGTCAGACTAGAAAGTGGACACAGGCACAAACCTAGAAAACAGGCTTCACTTCTCAAATACAGACTTCTCCGTAGGGGCCAGTTGGTGAAATAAATATTTAAAAATGGTCTGGGTTTACTAACAGATGGTTAATCTTGGAATCAACTGGAGGGTGAAATGAAAATGGACCCTTAGTGAACTATACCCTTCAACAGTTTTCATAGATTTTTACTCACCAGGGGCCTCATTTATAAACGTTGCGTACGCACAAAAGAAGGTGTAGACCGCTCTACGCAATAATGGGTATTTATAAAAAGCAAACTTGACGAAAAAAAACGTACGCACAAAAACGGGTGAAATGAGAACCGTCGGCAAATGCAAGAAACACGCAAACGTGTGTGAAAGTGTGCAAAACTAGACTGTTTTGCGAATACTGCCTCTCATAAATAACACGAACACAGGATTGATCAATCTGCAGCGTAAAACAAACAGAAACACAAATTCCAAAAGAAAGAGAAAAGTGAAATATGTTCTGCAATTTATCCTCATAACACCGCTGTTGCTTGTCAGATGCAATCAAATAGACGGTAATAAAATGCCATGATGCTGATGGCTGATCCTGCGCTCTTAGAAGATGTGGCACATGGAAGGATTCGCGCTGTAGTGCAGCGCACCATCGGCCTGTTTAAGGGCAGATGGTGCTGCCTCAACTGCACTGGAGGGAGGTTATTGTCTACTCCTGAAAAGGTGTTCAAAATCGTGCTGGCATGTGCTGTGCTACATAATGTGGCACAGCTTCCAAATGCGCTTCGACCCCTCCTGACGCCGATGGCTGTGTTGGCCCAAAACCTGTCCCCGATCCCCAATCATTGCCGCCAGTCTCTCATCAAGAGGGGACAGGTCCGATGTCCCCTTTCCCCCACCTGTGGCAAACACACCTTGGCGATGGCGCGCTAAACGCTTTTTTGCATCCACTTTGATGTCAGACCATTTTTTCTTTATTTCGGCCAGTGAAGTTACGTTTCTTCATTTTCCTCTCAGTGTTTGCCATGATTTCGCAATCGATGAATATTCATTTGTGGGCGTTCCACAGACTATATAAGGGCAACTATGGACGTGACATGAAGGCGCAAAAACTGCGCTGCATTTAGAAGTGATTGTGATTTATTAAAGGAAAACTGCGTAGGACGTGCGTGCGCACGGTTGTATAAGTCTGAATATTTCTGTGCGTACGCACGTCCTACGTTTCATCCGGACGCCACTTCTGGAGCAAATCCTACGCAAGGTTTTATAAATGAGGCCCCAGAACCCTTGTTGAATCACACGTTTCGGTCCTTTTTGTTTTATGCATGGATGTTGCCCTGCTTGGAATAATATAAAAGCACGAATGAGCAAACCTTGAATACTGTACGCGTGCCAGTGCCCTTCACACTCTCACGCACACGTCTTGCAAACCTTTAGACAGCCCCGATTGTAAATTAGCTCCCTAGAAACAGACTTTCTGGGGCTCGCAAACCTCGGCAGCAGTGCGTGCGTGTTGCACGAGCTTTCATACATGCTCATCCCTGAGTGGGTACGTGGAAGTACTAGACTGTGAGCTCTGCTGCAGACTCCAGCCTCTCTGTGGGTCTTGGCCCCGGCTCCGGGCTTCGGCGGAGGGAGTAAAAGGATTATTGCCGTCAATGTCTTTTAAACAGCCTTCCCTAAGCCTTTTAGCCCCCCATTCATTCTCACATCCCCCTCCGTCCTGAAGAAATCAATCTGTCTACACAAAAATGCTACAGAAGTGGAAAGAAACAAAGCGGGTTCATCGCGATGTGGTAAATTTAATTTCACAGCCGCTGCTTTGCCGTCGCTTGTTTGCACGCGCGTGTCTTCCTCCCTCCTAATCTCAAAGTAAACTGTGACCCGGTGGCACCAGCTGTGTTGGGGAGGGAGAGAAACGGAGCGATCTGGACAGACGGTGTGAGAGGGAAAGAGGCGGTTGAGATCAGCACACAGAACCCCCTCATATGTCTTCATCCCCACAGAGAGACACGCTCTCCCCCTTTAGAAGCCCGTGGCAGCGTCCCATTATCGCCTCTTTAATCACAGAGCAGCCAGGTGCTCATGCAACAATCAACGTCCTTTTAACCCGTCGCCTTGGCTGTTTGGAAATGTGTTGTCAGGTTCGCGGCGGACGTCGGACTGTATTTAGCTTGTGTCAGTAGCACATTTCTCCCCGCGTGCACTTTTGGTGCGATGTAAAACACAGAATCACGGCAAGCCTTTTTTTAAATCTCCCATTGTGTGCTTGTTTTTCTAATTCTCTCTCTTCATTTTCTTGTCCTCCTCAGTAAGGCCTTCCCCATCGGAGACAGAGTGACGTTCAGCGGGAAGGACTGCGTGTGCCAGCAGTGCTCCCGCACACTCGTCAAGCCAAATGAGCCCATCAAGATCCACGGGCCCAGCCGTGAGTCGAGCGCTCTGTCCTGCCCCTTTAGGCCCAACGGGCGCCAACGTGTGGTCTAATGCAATGTGTCCACAAGGCCCACTTTAGCCCATTTAGCTAATCAACGGCCCGACCTGCCGCGTCCGGCTGAGGGTTATGCAACACACAAACAGGTCGCATCATTCGTTCATTAGTGTCACCGCTGGACTTGCAGATAGTAGAGGATTCAAAGTTGGTCACTGTACACCTGGCACACATTCCTACATGAGCATAAGTGCATATTTTATGCTTTAGTTTCCCGTGTGTCGCCACACAGGTATGTGTGGGAGAAGTGCATCAATTGCGATGCCACATCAGAGCGATGTTGGTTGATAGTGAGTCATTTGTTCAGCGGGCTTCCGCTCAGCGGCTGCGCAGGGATAACAGATGGTGGAGAGGCAGCGAATAACTGTCCTCCTCGGGTCACTCCATTCAGGGCAATGAAATCCAAACCGCTCCCCAGGTACCTGTTCGTCACTCCGTCTTGTGTCCACGCTAAAAGTAATGCACTGAGGTTAAAAAAAATGGCATTACTAAATGATTCTTTCTGGAGAAAATTGCTCAGGAAGCTAAATTCAGGCCAGTTGCAAGCATGGAGAGGGAGGTGCTCAGTGGCGTGTTTATCTACCTTGTTCAACTAAATCTGACCCTCGATTGTTGGACAGACTTTATGGCCCCCGAGAATTGTCGCGTCAGGGCTGTTACGCACAGCCGTTCACCGTCCTTAACTTCCTCAATGAAATCACCTGAAAACGACTCCGGGCTGCTGCGCGTGAACATACAGATGATGGCCCCCAGCTGCTCCGTGTCCCGTGATGAAGTTTCCCTGAGCAAGACACTCAACCTCTTAACTGCTCCCTAGTTGCTCGCCCTGTGTGGGACGGGTTAAATGCAGAGAATGATTTCCCCACGAGGATCAATAAAGGAGACTTTTCTTCGTATCCCTTCGGACCTCTCGTCAGGTCATATTGGTCAGTTATAACTCAACATTATGCTTTTTAACTATGGAAATATATATGGAAATATGGTTGGGTTGCTCATCGTAGCCATGGTCTGTGCTTCTAAGTAAAAGATGCATTTTAGCTTTTAATCACATGACATGACATGTTGTGTAACATTAATAAGCAAACTATAGGACCATGTATGTCAATATATTTATATATATATATATGTATACTATATATGATACAATAGTGTTGAAAAGAATCTTCCTATGTTGGTTCCACCAAATAAATATGTAGCCCGAGGAAAAAGAAAACTCCACCTGTCTTTGTGCCACAGTAAATATCACTGCCACAGACCAATGACATGTACTGAGAGGGAATTCAAGGGTGTGGAGTATTTTAGTAGAATAGGAAAAGGAGAGGAAACGTGCCACCTAAAATGTTTAATAGCTGTTTACAGACTGGGAGCTAAAAGCAGATGAAGTCTAAACTTCCGTCACAATAATTCACGCCATGTTTACGATCAGGAAGGCAAACTGGTTGAGTTATTTCATATTTTCGATCAGTGTATGTGCTCCACTCCTGGACCACCCTTGCTTACTACTTTATCCTACTGACTCCCTTGTGGAATGTGAGATTGAATCATAAAACATTGTGCGTTATAGTCCTAAAAACGCTGCTATTGAAACAAGTGACAAACCCACTTTCTGCCTCATCCCCCTCCAAAGCAGCCCATAACCTGCCCGGGACAACATGGTGAAATGTCCGAAATGTGGTTTTCTGATTTTGAAAAAAATCTTCTTTTTCACTCAGTGAATTGCTCTCCAACAATTCGCCACATCAACCTCTGGTACCTGCATTTTAAACCTTCAATAAATGTGTTAGCTGTAGAAAGGAAAGCGTTGGATGACACTACAGTGACTGTGCACACCCTCCCCTGTATCGACTCAGCACTATCACCACCAAATGACAGTTGAGATTTATTCGGACTGCAGAAACTCAACTCAATACACCGGCTTCTCTCAGGGGGCAGTAGGCTGGGGGGGGGGGGTTTGGCCCCGGGGCTATTTCAGTTATTCCTGCTTCCTGCCTGCGTTCAATCACGTTTAACAGTGGTTACAGTTGAGAGAACGAGCCTCACGGCTCTTGATATGCTGCATTAGTAGGGGTATTGATTAAGAAGGTGTGCTAAATGGGTAGAAAATCTCCCTCATGGGCACAATGGGTGTTTAAAGATGTACAATTAAGCCTTGACTAACTCTCTCGCCACCTTATTTCTTTTTCTTCTTTTCCCCCCCATACTCCTATTCCCTCCTCTTCTTTTCACACGCTCACGTTCCGCAGACTGCGCCGGGTGTAGGGCCGAGATCAAGCAGGGCCAGTCCCTCCTGGCTTTGGAGAAACAGTGGCACGTCAGCTGCTTCAGGTGTCAGACCTGCAACATGGTCCTGACGGGAGAGTACATCAGCAAGTGAGTGTGCACAGAGAAGCTCTGCGCCGGCAGACACGCTGGGTCTTCATCACTAAGCTTTGCATTTTGTTTTTTGGTTGCATTCCCTCCGCGCTGCAGGGACGGTGTGCCGTACTGCGAGGCTGATTACCACGCCCAGTACGGGGTAAAGTGCGAGACCTGCAGCAGATACATCAGTGGAAGGGTTCTGGAGGTGAGAACCGGGCCAGATTTTTCAAAGAGAGTTTTTTTTAAGCCTGGCAGAATCCGGCAGTGGCACACAAATCCAAATTTGGGAGCGTAATCAAGCGTTATCGGTCGAGCAGTTGTGTTTCATCCCCGTCTCCGTTTAAGCTCCGGCCGGGCTTTAGGGAGTGAGCGACTGATAAAAAAATCATCTGCTGCTCTACTCAACCAAAACAACTCTGCGGTGCGTCAGCGTGTCAAATATCAGCGCGCATCCACTTCTACGCATTGGCTTTTGGGATAACAAGTGGCAAAAGCTGGATTAAATCAGCATGAGTCAACACGGGCGAGAGCAGAGCCGAGGAGAAACAGCGCGAGACAGAGGTGAAGGGGAAAGAAGTCTTCACGTGCACATGCCAATTCAAGTTTGTCTGGAGGGTTCTCCTGTCCATCGGGACCAAAGGAAAGGGAGCAAAATGTCGTTGTATCAGACACACACACACAGGGCGTTGTTGTCCCTGTGCTCTTTTGCGTGTCAGTCGGGCTGGTGTAAAGTGTTTTGTTCCTGCCTGTCAGCCTCTCTGGGCTATTTATAGACACGGGGACATGTCAGCCTTTATCTGTGAGTCTCTCTCTCTTCTTTCTGTGTGTCTTTCTCTCCCTGATCATTTCTGCCATGTTTGCACGCATGACATTCATTTCGTTCACCCGTCAAATTTTCGCATTTTAAGAATTGATTTGACTCACAAAATCGCAGATCCAAAAAATAACACCGCAAACATACAGATTTCATCTAGGATCTGGATAACAGACATTCTCCACCTGGGTGTGCTGGTATTGCAGCACCTGATTTGAAGTTTGCCATAGTTAAAACAAAAATGTCATGTGTCAAGAAGTTAAAGGAAAATGAGGGTATATTAACCTGTTATATTTCCCAAGCATGTTGCGGGACAAAGAGGTTAGAGGAAGAAAAAGGTCACGCGCATTGGCAACGTTTTCTACAATCTTTAGTTCTTATCTACAAAAAATCAGGCTTGTTCCACAGAGCCCCTCTTCAGTTAACTTCCCGTAGCCAGTCGTTGTTAGTTTTAATGAGTAGCTTAGAACAGATGGAGAAATAAAGAACGCCAACAGAAGAAAGAGGAACATAAAACCTCCTTTCTTTAGTTTTGCATCTCTCCTTTTCCTCCCTCCCTCGGTTTTTGTTTGCCAATAAATATACAGGCCTATAAATGCCACCAGAGAGAATGGGGCCTCGTTAGGAATGGAAACAGTAGTTTTTTTTAAACGGATACGGTCCGCGGCCGGTTACTTGGGAAGCACGGGGCTTAGATGCTGCATCGTGGGCTGGCTTTCCTTTCAGAGTAACCTGAGACAGACAAAGAGCGCATGGATTGGTTAAAATGCCTCTTAGATACTATCAGTTTAATGAAAAGAGGGGAACAGTCGATGCAGCAGAAAATTACACATCACTCTACCGCACACACACACACACGCGCACACACACACGCGCTAGGTTTGTCCGGATGAAAGCGCTCAGGCCTCTTCGACTCCGGCCACATGCTATAAATAGAAATCCTCTTAATGGAGTGTCGGAGGGGAGGTGACGGGGGGGCCACACCTCAGCCGTCGGCCCCACCGCAGACTCACATGTGAGGAACGGCGGGACGGTGAAACGGGCGGCGCGCTGACATCACACTGCACCATTTCACGTGTCCGCTCGGCCTGTTCACACGTTATCCCGCGGGACGCTTTGCACGCCCAAGGACGTCCATCTCACTCTCGTGTCCTTCACTCGCATGACCACCTACCTCGCTTTGTCTCTGTATTTTTGTTCTAATTATGCTATGGAGGATAATGGGTGGTGGCTATCATGCGATCCATATGCTGATGATGACCTGCAGGCCGTGTAACGACGCCTCAGCACGTTATGATGGTGATACATTGGTGGTCAGGCGATGTACGAGTGACAACATTTGGTTGTAATGTAATTACAAGTAATGACCTGCTCATTTGTAGATCAACCCGCAGCTGTGGAACTCTTGATGATGATTATGAATGTCCATTCACTCTTCTTCTTCTTCTACTTCGCTCTCCTCCCCACAGGCGGGTGGCAAACACTACCATCCGACCTGCGCTCGATGCTCCCGCTGCAGCATGATGTTCAAAGAGGGAGAGGAAATGTACCTGACGGGTGAAACTTGACACACTGCACACACACAGAAAGCACTCTGCGTGGCATGCAGGAGCACCCAGCGCCACTCTGTCTCATCTTCTTCTCTCCCTCTTCTCCAGGATGTGAGGTGTGGCACCCGCTATGCAAGCAAGCAGCGAGGGCGGAGAGGAGACTCAGGGTGAGAGAGAGTTTGAAATGGAAAATGGAAAAGAAAAGATGAAAAAAAAACGGTCTGTTCCTCACCCTCTCCTTTTTTTCTCTGTCTCTCTCTGTTTGTTTGCACCCCACAGCACAGACGTCTGTCGGAGGCTTCCCTCTCCCCACCGGGCTCCTCCATAGGCTCTCCCAGTAGGGTTATATGCGTGAGTAGCCTGTAACTTTGCAGCTGCAAGACACTTCCAGCTGCCCCCGAGCTTATCCTAAAAACGCAACTTACACGCCAGAAACACGAGCACTACGCCCACAGCCTTGAGCGGTTAAGTGTTGATCTGAGAGGCGGCTCACTCACTCGGGCTGTCAGCTCGTCTGTGTCCTCGTCATGTGGCAGCAGCTAAAACACAGTGAGACAATTATGGTTGTGGATTTAAACTGGGATGAGTTTGGATGGAAACTAAAAAGAATTCTGCCTTGTGGCTGCAGGGGATCAGCCGCTTTGTTCAAGTGTCAAAGGATGAAGGCATGAAATGTTCCGTAGTCATTCGTGGTCCCCAGAGGATGTCCCATGTCGAAGTGTCCCTGAGCAAGACGCCCAAACTCCTAACTGCTCCCCAAGTGCCCTTACCGGAGGCGGCACACTGCTGGGAAAGTCGCTTTGGATAAAAGCATCAGCTAAATGACATATGATGTAACATCCTTGAGTTTTCAATGAGCGCCATCAGGTCATTTATCAAACATCAAGGTGAAACATGTCAACCAGATGGATTTCGGCCCATTTTTTCGTGGGCCAAAGATAATGTTTCCTGTCACCTTTCCTGATAACCTGACAGTTGTGCAGATTCTGAAGGATGTTGATAAAGAGCTCATATTAAAAAAAGTCATTTAAATGAATCGCCATGAAATGTTGGAGATATTCAAGGATGTATCACATTTGGGAAATACATGGAATATCCATCTGGAGCCTCCATCCGGTCATAATAACACTGTTGGCATTTTAGCTCGCAGTACTGCTGGACGTACCTACGTACCCCACAGAGCCAGTAGCATGAGAAAGGACTCTCGAGGTTACAAAGCAGGAATTCTTGCACTTGTAGGCCGAAAGTCAAGCCACATTAAAGTTGGATTCCATTAGAAAGAAATGGTTAAATGTAACAATGACTTCCTATTTCAAGCAAATTTATCCCAGTTTTTAACTAAATGATAATGGGTTTCAATCAGTCCTACCACGTTTATGTGAAGGTTGTCACTCTGTGCTTTGCAGAGTCGGCCATATGTATTCGCATGTCAAAGGGTGTCTGCATGCAAGCAAGAGTCGCCGCTCTCAGCCCCGTCTCATAATCAATGACCTTTCTGTTTAAGTTGATGGATGGGGGAGAAGTGTGGTGTAAGCACGCTGGTCCTCCATACTGTCTCCCCCCCCTTCTCTCTCTCTCTCTCACTAGCTGTCCTTGCCATTTCTTCTCTCTTTCTTACGCATGCTGAGCTCCTGATGGTCAACAGCTTACACTTCCGTCATGTTCTGCAGTTGTACATGTGTACTTTTGATGAGCGCACACACACACACACATGTGTGTTCATGCGTGAGCTTGCGTGTGCTTTGTCGGCTCTTTTTCACCCCTCCCACCTCTGCATGAGAGACTCGCTGGTGCAGCTTCCATCCCACTCTGTTACGTGCGTTGTCTGTGTGGTTGATGTGTCCCTGTACTTTGGTGGGTGTATGTGTGTGTCCTCTCTCCAGGCCAGAGTGGAGAATCAGTTCCTAGATTATAAGGACCTAGCCGCCCTGCCAAAGGTCAAGGCCATATATGAGGTCCAACAGCCAGACCTCATATCCTCCTCATACCAGCCGTACCAGAGATACACCTCTGATGACAGGCTAGAATCTTACACCTATGGGGAGGTACTGCTGCCACACACTTGCCAAATTTAAGAGACTTTGGTCTCAACGTCGGTCAGTTTTCAGGAGAAACACTTCGTTTAGGATTTTTGAGCTTAAAGTGTTAATGTTACTTACTTTTTCTTGTCTTTTTTATATATATATATGATTCACTGGATTTGTTTTTAAATATGCTAAACATATGATTAAAAAATTGTTATTATGAAGTTATTTATTTTTTATCAAACATAATGTTTTAAATTCTGGAAAATTCACTGAAGTTAGACTAAAATAAAAGTAAAATAAGCCTGGGATATTTTTAGTTGTATTTTCCTGAATTTAGAGATTTATTTTACAACATATCAGTTTCTGGTAAATGTCTTTCCACATTTTGAAAAATATACTTGCCAAGTGGCGAGTTAGAGAAAACATGCACATAGCTAAGCATAACAGCTGCAGGCACGAGGAGGAGGAGTTGGATAGCGTTACTCCAAATTTCTACCTAAAAGCATGTTTAAAGCTAAAGGACCAAACCAGAAATTTGTCAAAACAAACCACAACTTGACATTTTACATTTCTGTTTGTGCATGAATAAAACAAAAGAGATACTGCATGAATAGTTAATTTGTGAGCTTTAGACAGACATAAAAGCTGTATCCATCTTCTCATATAAGTTTGCAGGAATAATAAGCACAGACTTCCAAAATGCCAAACTATTCCTTGAACTGACATTGTATTAATAGCAAATATACAATATAACAAATAAACGTGATGTTGCTTATAGTCAGACTTTATCCTATGAAGGAATTTGAATCTAAAAGGACCGTCTAGTCTGCTCTTGTGATCCTGTAAATACACGATAACTGACATATTGTTTTTGGTTTCACCACGTTGCTGCATTGTAAACGCTCCCTCCTCCCCCTCTCTCTCTCTCTCTCTCTCTCTCTCGCTCTCTCTCTCTCCACTGATGCTCCAGTCACTCGGGACACTCTCTCCCTATCCTCAGGTAAGCATTCCCCCCTGCAGAGCACCTAAGACCACTTTAAACGAGTCTCATTTGAACTTGTCTGTTAAGTTATTGGACTCCTCATCGCCCACTGGCTCTTTTTTGCTTATCCGCCTCCTCTCCTCTCTCTCTTTTTAGGACTACGACAGCCTGGATATAAAGCAGAGGCGGTGCTCCAGTCCAGGTTATATTGACTCGCCGACATACAGTCGTCAAGGCATATCACCCATCATGCCTCGCTCCCCGCAGCATTACGCTTACCCTGGTGAGTCATAGTCGTCTGCCTATAATTTCCCTGCCTCAGAGTTTGATATCAGTATGTTGTCTTGTTTTTTCGAGCAGTACTCAATACATTTAGTTTTGGGAAATTGTTTTCTTAATTGTTGGTGTTGAGATTAGAGGATTGATACCACTATTGAATGTGTATGTTCCTGTGTGTAGATACAGCCGTCAAATAGCTGAGCTTAGCTTAGCGTTGCATAAAGAGCGCCAAGAATTTAACACACAGAAACACCTAAAACGGAAAGTTTAATTATCTCCCAGTTTCCGTTTTTTATGCTTAGTTATTACAACCAACTTCTGGTAAACGTCTTGTTCAGCGTACCGACCTGCGTGTTATCAATCTTATCACCAATTAATCGATCTTATTATAGTTGAATTATTCTTAATTTCCTGTCGTTTCTAATGGTACGTCATTGCCGCTCATATATATTAACAAATAAGCCACCATGGTATTTCTGTGGTGACAAAAGATTAAAAGATTTACCGCCTTAAGGTAAAATCTCATTCCCTTCACTACAAAATAATATCCCATACGCTGCAGTTTCTCCTTGGCTCAACATTTCATTCAACTCTTACACATGTGCACTGACACTGCAATTACTTTGTCATTGCACAAGTGGAACAGTTATCCAGTGTCACTCTGTAATTTGGATGAATGCGGTTTGCTTTGTATCCGCATGGATGAGACTAGCGCTCAGGCCTTCCTTCACTCTCATGTTTCCTTTGCTGTGATTGGCTGTGGCTGGCTGCAGGCTCTGAGAGCGGCAGGAGTTCACCTTGTTACGGCCAAGAGGGGCGGTCAAGCACGCCCACCACAATCCAGCCCCCTAAACATTTTCATGTGCCAGGTAGGATTCCCCATCTGCTCATTGCACCACGCACGATCTCATGGATGATCTACTCCATGCCGAAGATGTCATCAGCCATTATTCACTCGGGCAAATCCTTACTTTCAAGTTTGGGAAAAGCAGACTTTGTGGAAAATGTGACTGAGTTCTATTTTGAACTAATTTCTAAACCGCCATCCCCTCGTACGTGCAACTCAGATCCTTGCCTCCTTCACCTCTCCGTCTCCTCTTTCTCTCCTCAGCCACAGAGGAACCCAATATCTACAAGAAGCCTCCCATCTATACGAGAACGGGTACAGTGCAGTTAGCAACGCCTCAGCCTGCCTGTCCTCCTGTCGGTGTAGTCCCACTGTGTTTCAGTACTCCATGTGGACGTCTTTACCGACCCGTTGGCGTTATTAATGAGCGATTAATATTGATGCATCGAGAATGAAGCCACCAATAACGAAAAGATTGATTCTGTGCTTGAAAATGCACAAAGCAAAGAGCATTTGACTTGAATGGCACGCAGTGAGACTCATTTTGCATTTGTAATTGGCTGAATGCAGAGGAGCAACGCTTCATGTGCAGCTCCCGCAGAACGACTTCTGGGGCTGGAATGGACCCCGAATGAAGGGAAGGTTGCTGAGGCGCGACAAGTGTTGAGAACATGGGACTCTGTGGACACACAAGTCACCAGAATAGAACAGAACAACGAAACAAAGCACATGGTGGGGACCAAAATGTATTACAGCCGTGGAGTCCCGGTCAGGCCTAGATAACTGGCGGTCAGTGTGTGATTCAAGGGGAGCCGTCGTCGGGGCGGTTTGAATGCAGGGACAGCTGTTTTGTTTGGTTGAGAAAACACAGCGAGTGTGTGAGACAGGACTCTGGTTTTCTTAATTATGTGGATCTGCGTTGTCGTTCAATCAAGGAACACGGCAACGCGGTTAACTCAAGATGCTATTTTTGGGGGATTTATTGCGAGTCATTAAACAGATTTGCTCTTCAGCCATTTTTGACGCCTCACAGTGGAAAAGGCTTCTCAGCTGGAGGATAGTTCATCTTCGTCGCCCTGCATGTTCTACTGTGCTGTGTGTGGTGGTATTCGTTGGGTAGTAAGTGAACTGTGTTGACCCGTGAATAGACACTTTAACGCATATATGTGTCTCGGTAAAAATGAGTACATCGCAGGCCATTAAGTTCCCACAATACGGAAAATCATCAGTCGCATTGATCCCTTTCCCACTCAATGTCTTCCCTAACAGCTACGCTGTCTTCTTTCAGCACTTATCAGGATTGACAAATATCCATAGCTTCAACAGTTGTGTGCATCAAAGGCCTGTTATGTACTACTCAGTTAACCAGTTTGCCGCCGATTTTAATAAAAAACATCAGATCGCATTTGGCAATGTTGCCAGCAAAGCTCTCACTTTGTCCCGTGTCCAATTGTGGACGCTCCAATAATGTTTCCCTTTTCCTTTCACTTCTTTTTTTTTATTGCATTCTATCACTTTTATTCACATCCCTCCACCCTCTCTGCGTCACTTTCCCCGGTGACCTTGCCACTGTAAGTACCTCTCGCCGTTGTAGATAAGCCTTGCATATGTCTCTCATTTGTGCGGGTATGTTTCTCTCTTTGTGTATTTGTCCCTCCACGTCACTTCTGTACAGCCATTCTGAAAGAAGAGTCAATCTGTGAGTGTGCGTGCGCGTGTGTCGTCGAGCTGAACGCGTGTGTCTCAAAAACGACGACGTCTGACATCAGCGTCGCGCTTCACGTGTATAGGAATTCAATGGATCCGGGCCGGCGTGGCTAATGGCAAACTGAGTGAAGAGCGATCTATGTTACACTGTCGCATCCATTGACTTCCGTTGACGGCGGTTTAGTCGCAGAGTGGCATCGATATCATCGCCTTACGCCACTCGGGAAGCGACTGTGTGCCGCAGGCTGAGCTGTAACTGAATTCACTTGAATGTTATTCCTCACGCTGTTGGCTGAGATATGGATATGGATCCTCTGGCAGCGATGAAGGATACGATGACTGTGAATATGAAGCGGGAATCATTGTGCTTTTCATTTACACGTTTTTTTTTTCACCTTTAAAGCATAGTTTAACATTTTGGGAAATAGTGTATTCACATTCTTGTCAGAACGAGACACCACTCTCATGTCTGTTTATCATTTTAAGCTGGAGGCAAGAGACGTTTAACTCGTTTAACTATTTCTTGACGACACAAGGATTGTATTTCCCTTCCTAACCTACACACGTCTTCACAGACAATTATCTGGACACAGCCACCAAAAGCAGGACCAGCGAGGACATCGTCAGGTCCTCCAGGCTGTCCACCTACTCCCCCGAGCCGTACGCCCAGTCAGAGTCGGACTACTGCCCTTACACCAGCTCCCCCAGGGGTACGAAACTGTGTCATTTCACGGAGTTCAAATGGGCAAGCGGCACAGTGAGCTGCATGGTTTGGATTTTACCGCCGGACCTCGTAGTACAGTTCCTTTTGTAACTGTGTTGTCGTATTTATTCACTCACCCGCATTGAACGCGATTCCCATGTAAGGGGAATGTCTTTTCATTTATTTTGTCTCTCAGCCTATCGGGTGCCAAGGAGACGCTTTTCGACAGGAGGAGATGAAGAGAGTTGGAGTCACGGTCTTCAAAGAGTAAGAGCTTTGATATTTTCTTCGACATTTGGTTCAATAGAGAGTCACCTCCTTAAGAAACAGCCATGAATAATCCACGTCTTATGGTATGGTGCCTTTCAACCATCCTCCTCTTACTGATTCACTTCTTGCATTCAATGTACATTCAACTAGCAGTGTCCCCCCCCTTTAGATCGGGAGTGGCATTGGGAGGATGATCCTAAAGGAGGAGATGAAAGCCAGATCTGGTTCCTACGACAACGACCCCTGGGGCAGTGCTAGGAATTCTCGTTGTGGGAGCAAGGAAACGCTCAACACTACAGGCTACGGCACCACGGCGTACAACAACACTGTCAACGGATGTAAGAGCCCCGCCCCCATTCTGCCCCCTCTTTGTCTCTTCTTCCTTCTGTTTCTGCAAGTTCACGCCTGTGCTGCCAGGTCTTAGTCCGTCCCAGTGTGGTCATATATGTGCTTCCGCGGTGGCTTTTTCATTAGCCTCAATACCTGCTGTCATCGGTATTTGGAGTGATTGCAGTGAGGCTGTGGAAGCAGGTCAAAGAGGGTCCGGGCTGCTGCGGGCATTATCGAGATGGAGGGAAAGCTGAACAGCTGCTGCTGCCACTCACAGGTTCAGCAGATGTGGCCTGTCATTGTTTGGGGGGGAGGGGGGTATCTGATCGCTCTGAGTCCGAACATTTCCAACCGCCGAGAGTGTTCAACCAGGTGTGCCAGATGTGATTAAGCCGGACCTGAAGCTACCAGTATAGAGTTAATGTTTGAGAGGACCAAGCGTTACTGGTCGCGCGGCGTATTGGTACGTCAGGGCACCAGTCCGTCTCCACCACTATCCACTGGTTCCCTTCCTCTGTCTCTCTTCTTCTGTTCCTGTCATCCTGGTAACGCTCTTACCTCATCCGTTCTATGTATCCATCCATCTATCTGCGTCTATCTCATCTATCTGCGTCTATATCTACCTCAGCCTCTCACAGCTGGTGTCCCATATCTTGGTTTATTAATGAGCAGTAAAATCTCTCATTAAAGCTGTTTCTCAGATGGGAGAGGACACAACCAAACAGGTCTCTGTTGACCACTGACCACGTTTGAAAGGCTTGTAGCGATACGAGCTGTCTTCTTCTCGGGAAAAAGTCCTTCCTGGCCTGTTTCTACCTTATTGTCCCTTTGATGTTGTGTGTTCCTGTGGGTATCCAACTTGCTCCTTTCATTTTTTATGTCACAGCTGCTTATACTAACAGATGGCTTTTAAATATCAATAACAATATTTAGATTAGGGCAGATTACAATTGGAGCCGGATATGTGTTTTTGTGTAATAAGTAAGACATGTCGTGTAACTATTTTATCTCTTTATTTCTTAGCGCCAAGATCTCAGTACAGCGCTGATAGTGGTGAGTTTCTCAATAATATTTCATCATTGTTCAAAAATGATTTTGGCTCCATACTCGACACTTTGTCACTTGTTCGCTAGTGCACTTTTAACTTCTTTCTCTTGTTTGATACTAACCCATAGCCTTATTCTACTAACCCATTGCATTAGCATTTTACTTTATTTTATTACTTGTGCACTGCTGTCTTGTTGTCTATTGTTACACTGTCTACTGTCACGCACCAACCGCCAAGACAAATCCCTTGTATGTCTGACATATTTTGGCAATACATTTTTCCTGATTCCTGATACTGAAGACTTGTTTTCTGGGTTTTTAAAAGGGCCGTTTGAATATTCAAAATGTTATATATGTTAGATTTTGAATGAAGATTGCATCATAAACGACATGCTTGTGGTGAATTACCTTAAATCAACTACGCTTGAGTATTATGTGGGCACATCTTGAACTCAGGGATTTTTTGGGGTTAGTGAAGAGCGCCATCTTCTGGCATGTTGCATAAAATGATAGGAAATTGAAAAACTGTTGACTTGACTAGTGCCATTCTACTACTGCTTCCTTCTTTTTAGATTTTGCTTGTAAGACCGCCTCGCTACCAGGATACGGGCGCAATGGCATCCAGAGGGTGAGAACACAGTGAAAAAAAGGGTTAACTATTAATTATATGTACGTATATGTATTAATTATACAATGAATAATTATGGATTATTTAAGATGGAGCTGACATTTTTAACAAGGTATCAGTATTGTTACTGTTACTATTCCCTTATCTTAATACATATCTTAGGCTAAATCTATGCCAGTACATTTACATGTTTAAGTCGTGGTTCCTTTCTACACCTGCAGCCTCAGAGTGCTGATTGCTACCAGTACCAGTATGATAGTGGCAGTGAGGTCAATTGGGGAAATAGAGGTAATTTAATATAGATTGAAAACACCTACCACTTATTAGAATGAAGCAATTCATTTTAAGGTTTCTTTTTTTCCTTTGTACTGACTCCATTTTATTTCTTCCCTCCCAGCAGAATACAAGGTACGTTTTGAATTGAATCACTTGAATAATGAATTTGCAGGGTGCGCGTTAGCCTGTACGTTTGAACGATCCCATTGTTATTGTAACTGAGTGTCCATCATTGGATGACGAACGCTGCCTCTTCTTTTGTGTAGATTTACCCCTATGAGGCGCTCATTGTCACCACTAGAGGTCGCATCAGGCTGCCCAAGGATGCTGACAGAGCCAGACTGGAGGTGAGTTATGAAGATGATCTTAAAAAATAGTAGAAAGTGCTTGAAAGATATACGACAGGTACAAAGTGATAACTGTGTGTCATCTCCATGTCCTTGCCTCCTCAGCGTCACTTGTCCCCAGAGGAGTTCCTGCAAGTGTTTGGCATGACTGTGGAAGATTTTGACCGGCTGGCTCTGTGGAAAAGAAATGAGCTGAAGAAACAGGCCCGACTGTTTTAACAACTTGTAGAAGTCTGTTGAATACTGCCATAACTACATTAAGAGGGTTGTGCAAGGTGAAGAAAGAGATATTAAGACTTCTGCTTTGTTTCACTGCCATGGCTGAGAACCTGTTCTAGATTTCCTCATGTGACAAACCAAATTCCAATCCCACCAGAGACACAGAGGGAAGGCCACGGAGGCATTTTTCACAGATGGACTGATAAACTGTTTCATGGCTGTCAGTGCAACTGTGGCAGTTTGCTGGAGTGACGTGTAAGCAATAGAGAGGGTGGTATATTACCGTTGTTGTTGGGTTTTTTCAAGCCTGAATAATGGAGGAAGACACTGTGGGGATGTCCATGACCTGAGGCGCAGTACTAAACCATAAAGAGGAGAATTTTGGCTTTGCCTTATTTTTTATGCTCTCTTAGTTATGAGTGTGCAGCACCAGCAATCTGAATGAGTAGAATGTAGATACTGTATATCCTTTATGACACTTTATTAGTGTGAATGATTAGATGAGAGGGAGTGAGGGAGCATAGAGCATCTCTTTGCTTTGGTCTATCAGGATGCATTTTGTTTGACCTGTTCCCTATTTTTGCTTTTTTACTTGAAATACTGCGTCCCTCTGGTTTACACTTACATAGAATGAAACATGGAACAATCAGAGGTGGGCATATTTTAAGCGTGACCTTTGATTTGTGTGCAAAATAAAACGAAAGTGAGAATGCAGATGTAAAGATTAGCAGATCACTTCAATGTAATGTTCTGGTTGAGTAGTTAAAGGTCACCAATAGATGCAGTTACCTGTGCAGCTGTATAGCAACCTACAATAATGTGCAATTCAGTAGATTAAATAGATAATTGGAACAAAGATTCAGTCCTCCCGCTCTAATGTTTTCCAGCTCAATGCAATAGAATAATGACAAAATGTTTTAGGATGAGCTCTGGTCATCCCGACATTTACACCCACTCTTATTCATAATTCAGTAATTTTGTAGATAGATGCAAGGTATTTAGGATACTGACCAAGATCATGGGTTGTTGAAGATTTTACTTCCTTTGAATACTTTTGTCATTTTGTCACTAAAAATTAAACTTGAAATAAATTGAGTCTCTTTTTTTTATTTGTAGTTTGGAAGCATCCACATGTAAGTCTTTTTAAAGGAATCTTTGGACAATTTGCAAAGTAGCGTTACTGGACTCATTGTTGAGTGGCCAGCACCGCTAAGGTTCGCTTACCGACACGTATTCCTTATGTTACCTTGTCAGTTTAATGGTTACAAAAACAAAGTGTTAAGAGTTGAAGAAGTTGCCATTTTTTATGCAACCAGCTGAGACTGCTTCCGGACAAGACCACGGGCCTCGAGGACGGAACACCAATCTCGGGAGAAGAAACCCGTAAACCTACAGGCCATGAAGTGCAAAACACAACAGCAAATAGGAACGCACAACTGCAAATAGGAAAACACAAATTAACTTCTTAGGAAAAGGGTAGGCTCTTAAAGCAGGAAGCAGAGAACAGACCCTTCTGATTGGACAGACTGACTGTCTGTCTGTCAACAGGAAGGAGATGTGAAAAACACGGAAAAGCGCCCTATTTGAAAACATGACTTTTGCTATTATTAAGAATTATTTTGATGCAGGGCATACACACGACGTGATAGTTGATATGTTGTCCACCAATCACAACATCAGTATGAGTACACGGACTTTGAAGTCACATTTGAGTAAAGCAGGGTTGTAAAAAAGGGAAATCTATTCGCATTGGGATGAGGTGAGACATGCCATCCTTACAGAGCTGCGTGGACCAGGGCAACTGTTCTGATGTGGCAATTACTTCAGCAAACGTGTTAAACGACAGTTATCAGATTGCTGAAGCAACTAAATCCACAAGGAACGGATACGAGAACACGCCGGAGGTTTGCGAGGCGTACGTATCACTCCATGGGTCCAAACTACATCTGGCATGTAGATGGATACGATAAGCTGAAACCCTTTGGCTTGGCTCTCTCAGGATGTATAGACGGGTTTTCAAGAAGGATCATGTGCTTGTTTGTGGGGCTACTAACAACAACCCATCGGTCATCGCCCACAACTACATCAGTTGTGTCAAGAGTGTTGGTGTGATCCCAATGAGACTGAGGACAGACCATGGAAGCGAAAATGGCACCATGGCCGCAATACAGTGTACCCTCCGACACGAGCGCACAGACTACTATGCAGGCTCCTCAAGCCACAATTGTGGATCATCGGCTGGGAATCAACGAATCGCGGCGTGGTGGTCCATTTTGAGAAAAGGAAGGTATGTAATCCACTGTTAGTATTCATCTGCCCAAAAGTAATTTTAAAGGTATACGGTATTTCAGCAGGTAAAACAGACTGGATGCATGAGGGGCCATGCAGTGCCTTTACACCTACGCATTCACACAGATACATCTAGCTGATATTGGCAGCAGTTAATTATTTTTGTAGTAGCCTACTTGTAGTTACTCAATAGTTATAGTAGTTCCCTGTTGTGTAAAATAATATGTTGTAAAAAATACAAACACCATATAAAAAAGCTATAACAAACCTTCTCAATCAAGAAGAAAATCTGCCCAAAATCCAAGGGCTTTGCCTTCTTTCTGCTGACTATTACTTCCTGCTGGACTGAGGAGTGGTGTGAACAGGCTTTCCATGTCGGCAGCTGTAAGGTTTGTCTTAGAGTGGCACCAGAGTGGGGCCAACACACACGGATGCTGCTGGAGTGCGAACAAAAAGTCCATCCATCCATCCATTGTCAAACCGCTTATCCTGAACACAGGGTCGCGGGGGGGCTGGTATGAGGGGCCGTTTAGGACTTAACTACTGAGACACTCTCACACACACTACTGAGACACACTCACACACACTACTGAGACACACTCACACACACTACTGAGACACACTCACACACACAACTGAGACACTCTCACACACACTACTGAGACACTCTCACACACACTACTGAGACACACTCACACACACTACTGAGACACACTCACACACACTACTGAGACACTCTCTCACGCACACTACTGAGACACTCTCACACACACTACTGAGACACTCTCACACACACTACTGAGACACACTCACACACACTACTGAGACACACTCACACACACAACTGAGACACACTCACACACACTACTGAGACACTCTCTCACGCACACTACTGAGACACTCATGCCATCTCATTAGTGTGTGTGAGAGCATTTCACTGTTGTCCCCGCTATGAAACGAGGGCAACTTATAGCACATGGAAATCCAAACCAAGACAAAAGTGAGTTGAATTATTTTTGTTGTATTGTTTAGGATAACCGGCATTCCATAGTAACCGTAGTGTTGCTTGTTAGCTAGCATATTGGTGTTAGCCTAAGTAGCTAACGTTAGCTCGTCTGACGTGTACTTTTTTTTCCGAGTCCGACAGAAAACGCCGTACCATCGGACCTTTAACAAGGACGTTATTTTGCTGTTTAGTCCTACAGACGACATAGTTGTCAAGCAGCGGAAGAAGGAGGAGTTGTACAAAAACGGGCACATCCTGAATGCTTTCGAGTTCAACAAAACCTGGGACAATGGGGCAGTCCTCCTTCAAATACGGGATGCTTTTAAGGGGAAAATTCCCGACGATGTGAGGTAGAGCTAGCATTAACATGATAGAATAGACAGTCAGACTCCATGGCACTATATTAGGAGTCCTTTACTTAACTAACTTTTCAAGGAGGACAATGCCCCTTCGGTTATCATATCACAGTAAATGTACAAGTGCATCCTATATAGTAAAGTGAATTGGACATTTAACGTCACGGTTTCCGGACCTGGCAGGTTTTTAGCTAACAATCCGGAAAAAATAATGTTCCAAATAATCGTAAAATGTTTTCAGGTGTTTAACTGTGTTAAAGTAGGCGTTGGCTCCTTACCGTTCGAGCCAAATACTGTTTTAATTGTGAAAGTAACACTTTTCGAAACCAGAGTTAGTAAAAGGACGCTAACGCTGGTTAACTAGCCGTGCGCTGCTGTAGGCATGACCCGGACGGACGTCCATCTTCATTGTAAACGTTTGTTTTTCGCGGAGATTAAACATTGGTGAAAGGGTTGCTAAAAGGACTATCGATGCTGACAACATATGCGGGAACCCAATTTTGGCCTTTCACAATAAGATATCCCGTGTCAACGCCGCCAAATAGCCCAATAAAATCTCTTTGATCATTGCCCCAGCTTTGCCCAACTCTCGCCCCAGTGAGTCTTACTACTTTCTATCATCAAAGTAACTTTCCTGCAGTAGTTAGACATGTAAATGATTTGTTGACATGTATGGGGGGGAAAAAGACCGGAAACAGCGCCAAATTACGAGCGTCCAGGTCAGGGATGTACGAGCTTTCGCCGTCCGCGATGGGATACAGTGACGTTAATTTTCTTCCACCAACATCACTTAAACAAAAAAAGATTTTATGGATCTTTCATTCATTCCAGAAGTGTGTCTTTAACAGTAATGTACCCCATTGATTTGTGTACAGCTGTGAACTACTGATGGCTTGTGGCAACAAGTTGATCACACCAGGGTTGAGGGAAGGCCAGCAACTTGACGCCAGTATAATCCAAAAAGTATTTAGGTATAAGGCTCTATATGTAAGACCCTCCAGACCTCTTGAGGTATGTATAAAGGTGTTATCTGTAACTCCTGACTTGTAATTAACCCAATTGTTCATGTACTGTTATTATTTTCAAAACGTTCATATAGGCTTTTGTTAGTATATTGCACAAAATGTATGTAAACCACCACAGCACTGTTTGAGGTGCTGTAGGCTAGTTGCTAGTTGATAAAATGACGGTGATATTGACTACAGCAAATTCTATCCCTTCTCAAGCCTGACAATTTGGATGAAAGTTCCTCCTCCAAGGAGTGCGTCGAAATGGTGCCGTCAGTCACCACCGCAGGAAGCTGACAACATGACCCTGTCGGAGACCACCCAGACCGCCCCTCCATGTCAGCTACCAGCAGCCTTGCACCTGCGAGCACCGCCCCCTGCAGCCTGGTACCGCCGACAACCGTGGACAGCACCCTTGATGCAAACAGCACCCCACCACTGACCAACAACCTATGGCCAGAAAGTACAGATTACAGAGCATACCTTTCTGTGATAAATCTTTCATCAGATGAGGAAGAATCTGAGGATTTGTATGCTGCCTTGTCGGCCAGCATGGAAGACCAGATGTGAGCATCAGATAATTGCCTTTTATTATACAATATTTTGTATTACTTGAGGTCTTGTTAAGGCTTTTGTCAGACTAAAGAAAACACCTGAGTGCCCTCTTGTGCCCTTAGTGCCCTCTTGTAAAAAGACCACAAATTGTACCAATGGCCTTTATCCCTAATTACTGATTGCGCACACATAAAGTTCTGATTAATGTTTCGAAACGTTTCCTCTTTGTTGTTTGCTTTCAGAAAGGAAAGTTCATCTGCAAGTGTCCCTATTCAAGAGATCTTATCTGAGCTTGGTGAAAAGATCAACAATAACCAAGTCAACCGGTTCAACATAAACCGTGCAGCTGTGCTAGATGGTGCCATTCGGGGCTTCAAAAGAATCTCTTATGACCCGACTCACAGGATTAGTGTGAGATTTTCTGATGACAAAGGAAAAACTGAAGAAGCTGTGGATCTTGGGGGTCCGAGAAGAGAATTTCTTCGACTGCTTACAGAAGCTCTTGCACAGTACGAAATGTTTGAGGGAACAGAAGGTAACCTCAACTTGGCTCTTGATGCAACAGGTACACTTTATCTTGTTTTTTCTTTTCATGATATAACTATATACAATGTAAAATACATTATAGCTCCCACTCCATTTTGTGTGAACCTCAGTGATTTTTAATCCTTTGAAATAATAGCCTAACACTTTAACAAGCCAGTGTGGCTACCCTGGTAACAAAGAGGGTGCCAAACTCTGATTACAAGCTATGCCTTTTCCATGACAGCAGTGCATAAAGTTATGCACACACTACTTTCTACCGCTTTTTTTTTCAGCTGTCAGAGAGGACCGTTACTTTATCACAGGAAGGGCTATTGCAGTCAGTCTGGTACATGGCGGGCCTTCACCAAATTTCTTGTCCAAAACACTGTTTGACTGCATAGTTCAAGGGCCAGAGAAATCTAGACCGCGTCTGGAGGACATCGCCGATGTTGAAATCCGTGAAAAAATACAAAAGGTTAGTTGCATTTTCAATTCATCATATTCAGTGCTTATGATGAATTGAAAGAATTTGGCTGGTCCAAACAGAGACTATTCATGTTTGTAAGAATGCTTTATCTGTTTTATCATCGGTGGCCTTTTTAAATGGATAGGTTTTGAGTCTTCCGCAAAATTTTATTTTGGATGTGAAGTGCTCAGATTGCATTCATTGGCCTGAAGTAGTCTTACCCAAATTACTGGCATGTTATGAGCAACTAACGTCCTAGTTACAATTACCTCTAGCAAAGCCGTTTCGAAAATAAAACTAAAGTAAAGTAGTCACTGGAAAAATTTGTAACTTTCCATTGCAATCGAATTAGGATGAGGAAGGTGGGTGGGCAATCACTGGTGGGGGACAGTAAATCAACAGTTTTTCATTTTTAAATCGGACTTTAAAAAAATGTATCATTCTTAGGTTTCAGAATCGACAACTCTGGAGCAACTCATCCAGTCAACTCAGCCTCTCCTTGATTACCTTGCCAATGCAGGCTGTCTGAAGCCACTGAAAACTGTTGACGACAGGGATAGACTTGTAGAAGATGTCTTGATGTTTCAGGTGATTAATCGAGTCCGTGGACCATTTGAAAGGTATTTTAAATGTAGTTTGAAAATCCTTTTGTTTTTTCGCATATAAAAGAGTAAATTCTTCATTGAAGCACCTTTCCTCCCATACTGTCATTTACTGTAGGTTTAGAGATGGATTGAAAACGCTTGGAGTCCTGGAGCAGATCCAGATGCATCCAGAATCTTTCAGTCCAGTGATGTGCTACAATCCAAAGCCGCTAACTGCTGACCAGGTTGATGAGCTGTTCCACATCCGATGGTCAGAGGAGGGGACCAACCAGAAAAGAGAGGAGGAAACCGTAGTTGCATTCTGGAGGGACTATTTACAAGATGTTGAAGGTGTGTAGGATATAGAGAAAAATTCATTTGTGCACTTCTTCAAAGAATCTAGAAAAACATTTTGGTGTTAACATTCCCAAGTTTATGATTTAATATATTTGGTCAGTCTATCATTTATATTTACTTCCCAGTCTGACAAAGTCATAAAGTGTGCTGTCTAATTCCGTGCTGTCCTGCTCATTCCACAGAAGAAGATGGAGCAGAGAAGTTGGGGGACATCCTAGCATTTGCAACTGGATCTGATGCAGTACCACCAATCGGCTTTTCTCCTCAGCCATCTCTTGAGTTTATTCACCCGAGTGGTAGAGCACAAAAGTTCCCTGTTGCCAACACCTGCATCAGCTGTCTTCGACTGCCCATCTATAGCACGTACAGTTGTTTTAAGAGCAACATGGACTTTGCAATAAGAAACACACAGGGCTTTGGCATGCCATAGATGATGAATGTACATTTTAATGTTTGTTTGTACAGCATCACAGTTATGTCGGTATCGACTCCAATTTTGTGTAAATGTTGGAAATGCAAGTTATTTTATTCACACTAGAAACACGTTTTATTGTTTTATTAACGTTAGCGGATACATGTCCTAGTGAGGGTTTACATTTGCCCTGTTTGTTTTTTGCATTACTGTTCTTAAGAGTATCACATGGCACGGTCTAGATTTCATAGCAGACCTCGACACGTCTAAACACTGCAACCGTGAATGAACGGGACAAGCCTGTCAGCAGCCCCCAAAGTTTAATTTTTGTATTGTCAAGTTTAATTCAAGGTTGCTTGTTGGATAAGCCGGGGAGGTATTTTGCAAAGCTGACTAAGCTTGACTTCTGCAATGAGAAGCCTGGAAAATATAAATCGCTTCCTGGGTTTTACTTTTGTGATGCCCCACACGTATGAGTAGGGTCTACCTAACTGTCGCCCTAAAGGTGAGCCTGGGTGGGGCCTCATCTTGATGGCTAATGGAGAGCACCTGGCCCCGGTGTCTCCTAAGCTATATATGCCATGCCCCTGCCAGTTGAAGGAGGCCAGAGAGAGCCAGAGAAAAGATCCAGAGGGGGATCCAGAGGAGACAGACCTGGCCTTCGCTCCCCGCTGCAGTCTCCATACATTACTGTTATGTTTTGAGTTATTCTTTTCATTCACACACGCACCACACCATGTTTCACACATCCACGCTTACACCACTGAATTACTGACTTCCCACCTCATAGGATCGTTATGGTTTGTGGATATGGGTTATAATTTAAGTTCTCCGGTTAGGGTTATACTTTAATAAACATATTCTTACTCTCGTACACCGTCTTCTGCTCCTGATGTTTGTCATAGCTTGAGCCAGCTATGACACTTTGCACTTAAATCAGACCAAAAAATAGATGATCAGCTAATGTCCAGAAATGGAAAAAGAAACTGCTTTTGATTTTCAGTGTTCTTTTATACAGGTACATTTACACATCAATAAAAGCTGGTTTTCAAATAATAGCTCAATCTCTTTATTCACATCCAATGTCACCTACTTGACATTCACACTAGAACATAATAAAAATACCACAGTAATCAAATAGTACCAGCAACATATCTTTCATCTATCTTAACAGTAGCTATTCACTATGATATACGTATCTTATATTATGTATAGATCAAGATGTAGATGTTTTTGATCCACAAAGGATAAAGCCCCAAGTTCCATTTTAGATGTCATCTTTCTGTTTCTGCGATGCAATGATAGCTTTGGCGCTTCACCGCAGCCAGGCATCACCCAGTTGGGTGCTACACATTGGTACTGGACAATTTACAGACTATTCATGCTTGTCACCACCACCAACCATTATTACTTTTATTTGTTCTTATTCTATTAACAATTGTGTATTTAATGCTGCGTAAAGTGCTATATATATATTTATAATTATTCAAATCTGAGATTCACTTAGTCTACTGGGATGTCTTGCTTGTAAAAAATGTAAAAGAGACAGAAATAATTGAATTCCATAATTTCCATCATTCATTAATGGGTCAATTAATTGTTGAATTTCTTGCATGGTGCTATTGCTTACATTAATACTGTTTTCAGGAACCTCAATATTATTCCTGCTATCTACTACAGGTAGTGCGTCTCTATTACTAGTTTCTAAATATTCATGTACACAAATATTCAATATGACTGACAACACCTCTATGCCACAATTGCAATGGGGTTTGGCTTCCTTGGGTAGAGAGTCCATGGTTATTCCATTGGCTCCTGAATTCTCTGACTGCCCTTTGAACCCGAGGTAAATAAATGTAATGCAAACAAAATAAATTAAGATCACAAAGAGAGTCAAGTATGTCTTCATTTTCCATAAAGGTAAATAAGTCAGAGAAATAATATGAAACGACTCGGTTTAGTTCTGCCCATAGCCTCTCTATTCTTTGGTTGTGTACGCTGCGCCCCATGATCATGCTTCTTCTGTTCAACCCTCTACTATTCAGCATAAATCGGGCAACCTCTATATTTTCCCTTCCATGGTCGCTCCGTACTCTTGAAGGCAGTCCAAAGTCAGATACGCCCTGCTGAAACAGGCTCAAAACACTTGATGCCCTGTTATTGTTGAGGCACTGAAGGTATATGATGGTGCGACTGTACCCGTCCACACAGCCATGGAACACCATTCTCCACCTGACCAATTTATGGTTCCCGTCAATATGCCTGTATAAAAGAAAGAAGTGACAACTGTTACAATCCTGGAAAAACACTATTTTGTAGGGTCACATCATACAAGTTTTCCATCTCTATGGGAAAGAATTATTGTTTCCAAACCTAATGAACCCTTAGGATAAAATCTTTGTGTTATTTGTTCATTAGTTCCAGCTACTTGGGGTTTTGAATACTGATGCTGATATTTGGCCATTCACCATGAGTAGCCTAAATTGTTTTCTTCCGGCTCAATGGAGCTAAAATAAATCATCGGTTGGGGAAGACGGGTAGTTCAAATCTAGGGTATAGGAGCGAATCATTTAAATGAAAATGGTTACAGTAAAATTACAGGATTAAAAAATACAAAGATCACAAAAAGTAACGTTAGGCAAGCCACAACTTAGAATACACCTGTCAATGGCCTATGGCACACATACCATAGCTCGTTCGGAGTTTGCACTCTGTAAACCCTTCGGCGAATGGCTTGACTGCGTCTCAATGATCGGCCGACCGGATCAATCTCCTGCAGAATTTGGCGGACCCTCCAGCGCTGGATACGGATTCCGCGAGCCCGCAGACTTCCAATAACGTATCTCTCTCCAGCATTCGGGGTATTCGTGGAAATCTCCCTTATGGTTGATTGCAGTTCTTCATTGTTCAATGATGAGTATTCCAAAGGTCCGACACCAAGACGTTGCCTATGTCTGAACACAGTCCGACGGCTAATTCCAAAAAAAGAAGCAATTCCCTGCCAGTTGAAACCGAGTCCCATGCACTGGTTGAATTGCTCGATTGTTAAATCATATCGGGGGCGACACGGAAGGCCATTGCGGGCTGTAGGTGGGACCGCAGGAAGGCAGTTTTCTTGATTTATTCCTCTTGTTCTAAAGTCATTAAACCGATTAAAACAAAAACATATCGACTCCAAAAAAACAACAGTCTCTCCACCAGGTCCTTCCCTGGAGCGAACCATAGACAACATAGAATTTAGGGTAATGGTGTGGTCATTAAGCTCTCTAAGAAATCTCTCTTCTCCTGGGTCTTGCCGTAAGCATTCAACGCAGCGCAGCACCCTATTGAAAAATCTACGATGTCATCGCGATTGCCAATTACAAAGAGGGCTTGCAGACTGATCAAATATACAGGATTGCAGCTTCATATTTATCAGAAAATTATTGATTGAAATAACCCTCAAATTCTCGCACTGGGCTAAGATTTTCCACTACTTTTTCGCTTTTTCACTACTTTGTTTCCGTCTTTCCGGTGTAACTGAGATGCTCTCACGTTGTATAGTGAAATGCTCTCGCACACACTAATGAGATGGCATGAGTGTCTCAGTAGTGTGTGTGAGTGTATCTCAGTAGTGTGTGTGAGTGTGTCTCAGTAGTGTGTGTGAGAGTGTCTCAGTAGTGTGTGTGAGAGTGTCTCAGTAGTGTGTGTGAGTGTGTCTCAGTAGTGTGTGTGAGAGTGTCTCAGTAGTGTGTGTGAGTGTGTCTCAGTGTGTGTGAGAGTGTCTCAGTGTGTGTGTGAGTGTGTCTCAGTAGTGTGTGTGAGTGTGTCTCAGTAGTGTGTGTGAGTGTGTCTCAGTAGTGTGTGTGAGAGTGTCTCAGTAGTGTGTGTGAGTGTGTCTCAGTAGTGTGTGTGAGTGTGTCTCAGTAGTGTGTGTGAGTGTGTCTCAGTTGTGTGTGTGAGAATGTCTCAGTAGTGTGTGTGAGTGTGTCTCAGTAGTGTGTGTGAGTGTGTCTCAGTAGTGTGTGTGAGAGTGTCTCAGTAGTGTGTGTGAGTGTGTTTAGTGTCTCAGTAGTGTGTGTGAGTGTGTCTCAGTAGTGTGTGTGAGTGTGT